TTCCGGAGACTGAGGACATAGTCATAATATATATGTCGCGACAATAGGAAAAAAAAAGCTCTGTAACAACCGTAATAAATGTGGAAAAACTTAACGTTTTTGTAGTTTTTTTTTTGTTTGTTTGTTTGTTTTTGCTTCTACATTAATATTTGGTGTTGGGTGTTGATAATGTCAAATTTCCCTTTTAAACTACCGATTTTTTGTTTTATTATATCCATTTTGAAATTAGTGGTGATCCCTGCAATCTAATTGGCTCTTAGCGGAGTGATTTATTCACGAATTACACGTTTTTTCACTCTAGATCACCCCTCTTGTAGTAAATCGCGTCATTCATGTTCTAAATCATGTCCCATGATTTCTGTTTTGCTCTATATTGCATCATTTCTGTTTCGGGTACAAAATGAGATGTAAAAGCCTTTTTGTTTCCCCTTTACAATAAACCGGCTACTTGGTCAAGTAAATATTGGTAATGACTGAAAGTCGAGTTTTGATTGTAACTTACTTGTGAGTCGAATGGTATTCAAGTCTTTGTCTCCGATTGGCTTAGATCTTTTCAGGTATTAGATCTACAGTTAGTGCTGACCATAAGTTTGGAAGACGTTTGCTAATATCCATAAAACTGACTCCCGTTTACAGATAGTTGACAGAAAATAACCGAACTACTGCCTATAAGCAGTACCATTCGACTGATGACATAATGTCATTTGAAAAATGTGCAGTAGAGAAGAGAAAGATAACGTCACAAGACTTCAATTTTTTTGGAATTTATGGGACTGGTTAACATAATATTCAGAAAGAACAAGATGAAAAACGCCCCCTTCCCAAAAACCAGCCTGTTAGTGCAAATTGGTGAGGAGATGAGAACCGGTTTGCTCTGATTACTTCATACAACTCCACACAAATACTTGGGCTTGAAACGTAGCGTTAACGAACCACACCTATTTTATATAACAATTATTCACCGAAGTGGAGGTGGCTAGTCGTGAATATTTACCGAACTGCGAAGCAGTGAGGTAAATATCCAAGACTAGCCACCGACACTGAGGTGAATAATTGTTTTAGTATATACTAAAACAGTGAGATAATTGAGCACAAAAATGACGATTTTTAACTCAAATACTGTTGCCAACGATTACAATTTTGGCGCGTAATGACCGGGCGGCTGCGGCCGTCGCTTTTTCTTGCCGACAATTAAAACTTTTGAAGGCATTTGTTTAGCTCTTGCGGGGAAATTTCTTCAAAAGGAGTTGTGAATTCTTTTTGTATTTAAAATCATTCTATAAAAATAGATTATTAAATTTAGTTTTAAGCTTATTTATGAACAACTCAACTAAATAAAGTAAGCAAGACTTAAACTTAATTTGCATTTGTAAACAAAAACTTTTTCACCGGTTTTATCGATAAATTCGTGTCAAAAAGACAAAGCTTTACCTGTTAAAACTTCCAATCCGAACTTCATCACCTTCTTCGTGTATTTCGGAAACAGCTTGCTTGATTAGTTGTGAAATTTCTTTGTTTGTTTACGGCAGCAAACCGAGAAGACATTTTGCTCGCAACTTACGCGAGTTTGGCGTTGCTCGCTCGGAGGAACTGGAGGTGAATCAGTGAATAGTGCAGGATATTCACTGATTGAGTAGCCAATCAGAGCGCGCGAAAAACACTATCCACTGTTTTAGTATATACTAAAAGGTTATATGTGGAAACATCGGAGCATAACGTTGCTTATATCTCCTCAACAATTTGTACTAAAAGGCTGATTTTTAGATAGTGAACAGCTACCGCTATAAAGGCCTTTTTGTTATTGTAATTTCGTCCGTCGAAGCCTTTAATTTGTTATTGGAATTTTATTGCCAGCAACCTTTCCACAGCAGCAACTTTTTCCTTTATTTTTTTTAAATTGAAATTGGGATTTCAGCTGTTTTCGGTAATTACAATGTGATAAATCTATCAGTCAATTAATTTGATTTTATAGACTGTTTTAAATTTGTTACTTCGTGCCTAAAAACGTATCAGGGCTTTCGAGCAGCTTTGTTAGTGACCCTTCAAGTCTCAATAGAATACCTTATTATAGCGGAGCTCCACGCGCGCTTCGCGCGCGTGGGCGGAGCCCCATAGCTAAGGAAATCTACCCATCCCAGAAAATTTGGTAATCACGTGACCGACCGACCGACCGACCGACCGACCGTCCGTCCGCACCACAGGCATACCAATGTTTACTCTCTCACTTTCTAGCTACTTTGGGAGCCCAGGAGAAAGCTGATTGCACATCAATGTTGTCATCAATTGACAGCTGTCAAAACAGGGTATCCGCTGACCACTATCACCTGACCGAATCGCGGGCTCAGGTGTCGACCCATCGAGGTTGAGTATTTTTTGAAGTTATCCGCTGACAATTTACTCGTTTTCAAATGATCGCAGGCTCACGTTTTTTTTGTTTTAAATTCACAACAAATATGTTGTGTTTATGTCAGTATCGCCCCGCACTATTACGATTTTGATTTCAAACTGACTTCAGACGCAAAAATTCAGCCAGTTTTTTTTAAAATACAGGCGGGGAGGACCTTTTCTTACCATGGTCACGTGTTGGTCACGCTCTACGTCCAATTTTTATGCTCTGATTGGTTAAAATTTGACAGGCGAGTTCATGCGTAAAATTTATGCAGCATCTTGAAAGTTGTTTACTTTGACAGCTGAAGCTGACAGAGTTTTGAGTCAACTTGTGATGTTTTTAACTGTCTTTTTCCACTGGATGTACAAAATGAAATACAGCTGCTATTAAGAGTGTTCTCTTATTCATGGCTGGTTTGTTTATTGGGTTTTTGGTTGAAAAATGCGTCGCTTGTCAAAGCCGATAATCCGATTTCGGATGGCATCGTTTTTGATTTCACCTTGCTGGGTGCGTGCGAGAATTGTAAAGGCTCCAGCGATCCTTGCCTTACTTGACAGCTTTCAGGAGCTGCATCTCGAAATATGGTAAGCCTGAGTAATTGTTGTATTTATATCTAATTTCATGAAGTCCAGCGGCGCAGTTTATGAAGCTAGTTTATGCACGTTTGTATTAAGATTTGACTGAGACACTGATCTGACCTAGTATGAGGTTTGATATAAGCTTAAGCTTACAGAACTTTAAAAAGCCTTTAGTCGATATTAAATCACCTTAAATAGAAAGAAAAAACTTTCCGAAGAATATTTAGTTATAATTTTGGCTGTAGAAAGAAAGCTTTGAACGATTTTCTTTTCGTGAGTTCATCTTTGAAAACAGCCAACACCGGGAAACCGGCGGCTTAAAACATAAACTTTAAGCTTACTAGTAAAGACTTGAGGATTCTTAGACACACTTAAGTACTCATTTGTTTTCGTGAATGAAAATTGTTGTCTCTGTAAATGTTCTATCGAATTATTTTTCTTTATTGATTTTTGGTAGTCTCAAAAGTGTAATTTTCATCGCTTTGCCGTTTGTTTTCAGGCGTTCATAAACATCGCTCGCAGGAGTACTCAAAATGCCAAGCGCATCAAACGCTTTTTAAGATTAAACATCGTTATAAAACCGTTAATAAAAAATAGACTCAATAAATTCTTTATCACGTTGAAGCGTAACTCTTTTAAAATTTCTTCGCAAATTTGGCACTTGTTAAAAGTTAGAACCGGCTGGCCGTATAGGTGATTTTGGAAATTTTTTGAACGGTTTCGCTAATTAAAAGTCCACGCGTGCCTCTATGGTCCTGAATATTGAATGAATGCAATTTGCCTTGAAGTATCGTGAAATACTGCATTTTGTACGAGCTCTGTATGATAAAGACAGCGCCTCATAGTACTCTTTCTCCCCAGATGTGGTGTATAAAAAAAATAAAAGATTGGTTTGCACGCACCCAGATTTATTGGCAAGAATTTGTAAACTTGTCGAACGCAAAAAATTCGGTCTGATTTGTTTTCCAAGAATTTGTTTTGCACGCTTTATCTACTGTGATCAAGAGCCATCATTGCTGTTAAATGTGACCGAAGACTATTTTTTGGGTGTACATATAAGGCTATATCAACTCGATACAAAATATGTTTCTCTCCAAAATCACTTAGCTTTTCCCTCAAAAGTCACATGAATGTGCCCTTACGTTAACTGATTTGTGGAATACAAAATTATTGTTTGATTTAAGTTATAAATTTATCAATGGGAGCTTCGCTTTTAGCTGTGGCTAAATATATATATTAGGAAATTAACGATGCACTTTATTAAATTAAAATCGCGTTAACTTAAGGTAACTTTATTTACGTCGATATTAATTTAAATTACACTATTTTACATCGTTATTGTTTTACAGCACCTCTATTTCAATAACAAAACGTCGTCTGTTCATAGTTCCTCAATCAACGCCTCGGAGTCACTCTCTGACAGTTCCTCTTTAAGAATTTAGTTGAAAATGTCTTTCGACTGGTCTTCGAATTGATCCTTTTTCCCGAGGGGATAGCTAACTTCTTCAGTCTAAACTTTCTTCTTCATGGAAATGGTGCTATTTTTTTCCGTTCGATATGTATGTTGAGAAGTTTGTATACTGGCAGCAAATTCGTGTAAAATACAGTTAGGCGCACATTGTTTTCGAACATTTCGCGTTAATTTGATGTATGTAAACCTAACTTTTGGAAAATTCGCGTTAATTTTGAGTAAGGTGCATCGTTAATTTCCTATAATAAGGTAATGACGAACCCCAATTTTTTCTCCTAATGACATCCATACATTGTCAAGAGAAAAAGGATATCAGAATTAATAAACAGATCACCACACAGAAAATGCTTTGATCTTTTATCAAATTCTCTCAACTAATTCTTTAGGGAAATGTATAAGGATCAGTTTGGAGTATTTGTAGGTGGACATTGGGGGTTAAAGAGCTAATTTGAACATATGGTTACATCTGGTCTCTAATTTTCAGTCAGGTTCTTCGCAAGCTATTTTGTTAGATCTGTAGTGCAGTATAGTAATTGCTGCAAGAAGTGGAACTTCGCGCAAAATGTCTTTCAAGACACTTTTGTTTGTTTTTACTATTTTAAACGCCAAAATCTTTTGTCTATCTGAAAACCAGAGCAATTGTTCGTGTATTGGTTTTCTCTGGGAAGAGTTTAAATTTGAGAGCGTGCTTTCAAAAGATAGCCAGTTTTGGAAGGACCAAGTCTGCCGTGTTGCAAACTCTTGTGTTCAAAGCCTGGCTACCCGCAGTTCGTCGTTATTTCGGAACAACAAACAATGCTCGGAGCAACCTCTGATAAATGTATCATTTCCTGTAATATCTCAATATCCAAATTTAACGTTTAAAAGGAATCTACGGCCCTTTCTCGCCGAAAAGGAAAAGAATAACGGTATAACAACGCAGGTGTTTGAGGCCCTTCGTAAAATATGGAAACTGTTCGTCTTTTGTCTGATAGCGGCGGCATTATCAGGAATCATCATTTGGTTTTTTGTAAGTATACAGAAATTCATTTCATTCTCCCAGGAGGGATTAAAGCTATAAATAAAAGTTGATGTTCCGTTAGTCTCGATTACATTTCGAAAAGTTCAGTTCAGTTCAGTTCAGTTTATTGTTTTGTTATAATGATGTACAAAAAAACAAGAAAATTGTCGACATTTTTTAAAACGAGGAAGCCTAAGAGAAGCCACCGGGTTTATAAGGAATGGGCTCCGTCAGTTAAATTTTTACAACAATATTTTAACAGAATTGTAAAGTTTTTTTTTAACCGAAATTTACCCACAAAGAGGACGGGACACTGGGGTAAAATCATGATTTGTCGATGATAAAAGATAAAAAAAATTAAAATAAAAGTCTGATTAATCCTCGCGAACCTCGGTGTGCAATTCAAGTTAAGCCCTGCTTGGCGTAGTTAGCGATTGCAGTGGCTGTGTGACCAGGCGCCTTTTTCAAATTCCCTTTTTTTCTTTTAGTTTTGTTCTGTTTCATCACTTGTGCGACAACAAAGGGATATTTAGCATCATGTCTTTTTACAGATAGAAAACAAATAAAAAACAAAACACGGCAAGTCAGCTTTGCAAAGTATTAAAAGATGAGTAATTGAGCAACAAGTGATCACCCGAAAACAAAGATTCAGTAAAAGCATGTTATTTACGCTTTTGAATGTCATTAGTCAATATTGAACTTATCTTATCGACACTTTTGCTTAAAGGATCATAAGGCGAACTCCGGACATTTCCCTAAGTCATTTTGGGTTGGCATTCAAGAAGGCTTATGGTGGGCCATTGTTACAATGACAACCACGGGGTAAGTACTTAAAGCTATAGAAAAACATCATACTTTATGTTTAACCAAGCGCTCGTTAATTGCCATTCATATGCATGCGGAATATTTTGCCTTTGTAGGTATGGTGACAAGACTCCAAAATCCACGCTTGCTCGAGCATATGCTACATTATGGATGATCGTTGGACTGATGTTAATGTCAATCATTACTGCCCAGGTCTCCTCTACCTTAACCGCTGACAACCTGCAGCCTCTGGGCGATGTATTTGGTAAAAAGGTAGACTTTTAGAATTATAACATGATAAATTAAAATAAGCTAGTTTCTAGAAAGTAATGCCTTCATAGATCCTCATAAGAAGACCATTATCCTGCTGTCGCGTAGTTAAAGTCTTAATAAGTCTCTAACAATCACCTTAACTTGCCCAGTTTGGAGAATTAAGGAGTCATTACATGCAACCTAGCGCCGAACATACACATTTGTTGAAACTATTTTGCATCGGTTAGTTAGTGAGTTTCACGATTTGTTTATTTCAAGATTACTTTTCTTTGAACATTTATTAAAAATGAAGGTTTTTTATGTTTTTGTTTTTGTTTTTCATGCATAACTTTTTCATCAAGGTCCTGAGAGATCCCAAACCTCAAAACATAAACTAAGGGAAAATTAAGTCTATTCCGACCGGGCTTTTTTTTGCTTCCTGGGTGCGGGACTCGGGGGGGGGGAGGGAGCTTCTGAGGGCCCTACTCGTTCGCCCGCTAGATTGTAGTGCTTAGCCGTTGGCCTTCATTTATCTAATTCACCTATTGTTGGTTTTCACATGACGTCACTAAAATTCAAACTAAAAAACTATCGATCTTACCGAGATTTTACTTTCACGATGCATTAGAGCACGTGAAAACTACTTTTCATACAAATTTTCGCTTGGAAAGGGTTCTTGGTTTTGTTATAGAATACGCTTGAATTTCTAAGCTTTTGCGTGACGCGGCAATTACACGGCGGCCAAGAGAGCTGTCATGTAGGCTAAAAAAATGACTTACTTCAGGAAATTTTGCTATCTAAACAGTTCATGTATTAGAAAAAGTATTACTTTAATGTTTATGAGTTTCCCGAAGAATAAATTCACTCTTTTTGTAGCAAAACTCGGTAACAGATGTTTCTGTTGGTTTCCGTGCGCCATGTTGGAGCTCATCCAGGTGAGCACCAGCATGGCGCCTCCATACAAATCTCTATAAGTTTGGGTAAAACATTTCTTGGGATATCTCCTATATTCCTCTTACCTGAGTCTTGGCTAGGGTCTTTGCATATGTACCTCCTTTCATTTCCCAGATTCTGGACTTTATCTATTGAACGGTCTTGATTTTTATTTTGATCTATTTTGAATGGCGTGACACTGAAAACCAGCAATTCTTATTTTCTCGATTTAGATTGGCGTGCCTTTGAGAAGCAAAACTTTTTTCCAGAAGCACAATCAACGAGCCAAAACTGTGCAAGGTGAAAAGAAAATGACATTCATCACTTAAGTTAATGTGCAATAAATAGATAAGTAAATAATACCGGTTGTAAAGATAAAATTTGAAGAAGGTATTGGTTTTAATTATTTCTATCAGAGTTCTTTAGACTGGTCGATAAATGTTAAAACAAAATGGCGCTTGTTAACGCGCCCGCACCACTTAGTATTGAGAAAATCTCGTCCTCGTAGTCATGCTCGTCTTACAATCCAAAGGTTTTTATTATGTGGATTTTAACAACAAGACCTGGATTCCCCTTTTTAGAATTTATTGTCAGAGAGAATAGTTTGAACGAAGCCCTTTTTCATGAGTACATTTAATAAGCCCAGTTTAACTTAGTGGTTAGTATCTTGATGTCCAACTTTACACACAGTTTGCTCAGCGACAATAGATTGGATAGATTTAGTCGTCGTGCAATTCAGTTGGCTTGTCAAGTCAAAACGGTGAAGTTTGTTTAACTCTGTGGAACTGAACTTCAGCCATTTATTGTGGTTACTGCAGCTTGGGGTCATTCTCTGATGTCTGTAATGATACTAGCTACAGCAACAGTCACTTGCAGCGTTTATGCTTCCGGTGCTGTTGTTATCATGATGCTTTGCGAGTTCATAATGTTCATTCGGCCATGTTGGCGCTCACAACCTCAAGTCCGCAGCCTCTTTAGTAAGATACAGAAGTATAGTGTATGGTGCCAAGCAAATACACAAGGAAATGGCTCTAGGCGGAGTTGAATACGCGCGAATGCATTGGGATGGCAAAAATCTTTAAGAAAAATAGCGTCGATTTAAACAGCAAATGTACCCACACAACCTAGACGATCATGGAGATCTCAAACCTGGTTCCTTACGACCCTCGCATATTACCCTCACTGCCTACGGTGACTCGCAAATAAGGTACACAGACATCGAAAGGGCCTTATTTCAACAATCGAGCCTTCCAAGAGTTCCCTTGAGAGACAGGCTTTAAAAACATTACAACCACCCTTCACTATCCCCGTACGATTTATTGAAAGCCAAGTAAAATCAGTCAAGTTAGCCCTCCTGAAGTGAAACATGACAAGTTATGATAGCTTATGATCTGAAGGAACACTTAAGAATGATCATAAAAGACTTGTTGTTATTGTTAAGCATGTGACTCTGCGTACACTGAATTATCTTAATGCATAACTAATTTGTTTTTAGTTTCAAGGAAAGGAGGGATGCATTGATTCTATCTACAGCAACAATCACTTCCAGCGTTTATGGCCATATGCATGTTACCGCTCAAAATATATTAGTGTTTAAACCTCAAGTCCGCCTTTCTTTAGTGCGATACAGAAGTATTGCAATGTCCATCTTTTTTTATAACGTTATAAGACGCTACTCGATAAATTTAACCTTTCATTGATTCTCTTCTTAGCCGAGCTACACGGGTAATAAAATTACCCAGCGGAACCCATGGGTAATAAAACTTGGTTATCAATTTTGGTTGTGCAAAAATCGTCGGTCAGGGTCCCTACGTCCGTCGCATATGATATGTTAGCTGATGCCGAGAAATGCCACACTCACTAGCTTGCGGTCCAAGATATTTACAATCTATGTTCAACTTAAAGTTGGACATCCATGTTAAGGTCAATTGACAGCTGTCAAAATAGGGCATCCGCTGACCAGCGCCACATGGCTACATTTTGTGAGCAATTTTACAACTCATTGAGGTGACGCGGATTTTTAAAGTTCTCCGCTAACCAGTTATGGGTTTTCAATTGATCGTAAGGTCGATAAATATTTTCAGGAGGAGTTTGAGCAACGCATATGTCAACTTTTTAGAAAGTTATTTCTTAAAACTCCCACGAGAGCTTCTCTTTTGATCTTGTCTTAATCCATATATTAAAACTATCGAATGCAGTTTTAAAGTGTGATTCATCCCAACATGTAGTACCCACATTTTTCTTAATTCTTACCATATCATTTTTATTATTTTTATTTTTTATTATATGATTTTTCATGATCTGGTTATTCCGCTGTGTTTCAGAATATCAAACAGAGAGGGAGTTGTTTCAAAACCTTTCGAATGAGAATTTGGATAAAGTATGGTTGTTGAATTGTTCAAGCCATAGCGACCATCCGATCCTGATAGTCAATGACGCTGGTGAGAATGTCGCGATCGGGGCAGAAGTTCAAGTCATAAACGGGGAGAATCGAAATAATGAAGAAGCTGAAGATCTTTCAAATTTCACAAATTGTCTCATGAAAAAGTGGGAAGAAAGAAATAAAAAAACGTCTCCAAACGCGCTTGCTAGGTATAACGTTTCGGGCGAGTCATCGGGCTCAAATGGTTTGCACAACGGGAGCAATCAAGACAGGCAAAGAGGAGCGGATAGCATTGAAAACAATGAAATGGGTGACCATTTGGTAAGTTTAGGAAATTTAAATATAAAAGGAAAAAATGGACATTTATATTAAGAAGAACATGATTTTATCTTATCCTAACTTAAAAGGCAATTAGTACCACCTTTTACTAAGTATAAGCGACCCCATCAAAGTTCTTCTCCAAAGATTGAAAACAAATACCGCTAACAGTTACTGTATCAAGATCAGTCGCCATTTTGGAATATGTTTAGCACCCTGCAATATGGCTTTCATTTTTCTTGAGGAGTAATCTCACGTAAATAATTTTTGAATAATAGTGAAGTCTTCAAAGCTATAGAAATTAAAGACCTACCGATGCGAGAAAATATGGTTATGAAGTGAGTTACGTCCACATGCACCCTTCCATCGCCTGGCAACTCGTACAGACTCTAGGGCTACGAGTAGAATTGTTCTTGGCGTTTATAGATTAACCTGGGCGGTTAGGGAGCAAACAAGGAGATACTCCGATAAAAATCTAGATGTAATATTTTTTGTGTTTGACTTACTAGAAAAAAATTTTCGAATATAATTCTTTAAAGTTTGGCTTTTGCCTTGTTAAGCGTTTGGTCACGCTCCAGGATTAATCTACATTATCTGAGACTGGTCAAGTTTTGACTGGTGAATGCATAAGTAAAAACCATGCAGGATCTTGAAACTTGTTTGCCGATAAAGAGAGACTTCTGTTATTTTCTTCTTCTACCTCCACAAAATAAAATACAACTGCTTGCCGTCAACATTTTTTTCTTGTTATTCAAAGCTGATTTAATTAATTGTTTAATGGTTTTGGTTGAGGATTAAACATCGCAACGGATTCATAAGTGGCTGCGTGTGGTTCAAGTTCATCAAGGCTCTTAATACGCAGACTAAAGGGAAAATATTTTGTCCTTTCAAGTTTTTCACTTTTCGTGTTTTTCCACTGCCACCCCAAAGTAAATACCAGCTGCTATCAAAATTATTCTGATATTCAAAGCAGCTTTGTTTATTCGGTTCTTAGGCTGATGAAAAATTCGCGACTGGATTAAGCGATAGCTGTATTTGGGGGAAGAGGTGGGTTGGGTTAGTGATGCAATCTGTGTGGACAAGAATTCTTTTCGAAGCCTACATATATTACTGTGATCGAATTCGATTAATTTTTTTCTGTTAATATACGGTTTTTCCCGCATAAGCTCATAAGAGAGTACACCTCCCGGGATTGAAAACACCTTTAACTCATGAATTCCTTTTGAATATTAGCGGGGCTCCCACGCGCGCGACTCATGGATATGGTCAACTGCTTTTCGTTTGGTTGTCACGTGATTGACCGAGCGTACACGTCTACAGATTGTACGGGTGGGGTAGGGGAGATTATCAAAAGGAAGGAAGAGGTGTCTCAGGCATGTCTTAGCAAATTCACATCTTTTAAATTGGACATTCACTTTTCACAATATGGTCAATTGACAGCTGTCAAAACAGGATAGCCACTGACCAGTATCACATGACCATATCGCGGGGTCATGTGTCAACTCATCGAGGTGATGTGATTTATTTGGAAACTGTCCGCTGACCAGCTAAATGTTTTACTAGACCACGATCAATGTTCAATCTCATACTTTCTAGCTAGTTTGGGAGCACAGTTGATAATGCACACATATTGGACATCGGACATCAATGTTGTGATCAATTGACAGCTGTCAAAACAGGGTATCCGCTGACCAGTATCACTTGAGCCCATGCGTGCTTCGATCTTCCCGAATATTGAATGAGTGCAATTTGTATTGCAAAATTGTGAAATACTGCATTATGCCCGAGGTCTGTATGATAAAAACAGTACCTCATAGTACTGTTTCACCTCAGATGTGAAGTATAAATGGTATAAAAGGTTGGTTTACAAGCACCCAGATGTGTTGGCAAGATTTTGTAAAGTGTTAAAACTTGTCGAACGCAAAAAATTTGGCCCGATTTTTTTCCAGGCCTAATTAATCTACGGTGTTCAAGAGCCATTATGGCTCTTAAATGTGATTGAAGATGATTGCTGTCTTTAAGGTGTACAAATGAGGTTATCAACTCGATGTAAGATTTTGTTTACTCTTGGGCTGTTTGCAAATTATTTTTCACAAAATCACTCAGCCTTTGCCTTAACAGTCACATGAATTCGCTATGTGCTCTAAAGCTAACTGAACTGTGGAATACAAGTTTATTGCTTGATTTAAATTATAAATATATTAATGGGAACCTCGCTTTTCGCCCTGGCTAAATCTATATGTTCCTGTATGTTACCGTAATCAGAGCCTTTCTCTAAATTAATTCATCATATTTTTTGCGACTACTAAGAAATCAAGCGTAATGAAGCGCCCGCCTGTTTCTTGAACGTTTCTGGCGAGATATGGTTGACATGGATCCTTCCCTTTGAGATATTTGGCTCGTTGGCCCCTCAGGTGATGACTTAGCAGTAGCGTAGATGTGTCCGAAAAAACGCCATCTTGTGAGAAAGTTAACGCAGCTGCATTCTTAACTTATATGTGGCTCGAATGTGTAATACTTTTCAAACGCCATTGTAAAATTTCATTTTTTCTTTTAACAAAATGTTATAAAGCGTAATTGACTGTCAACCCTTGTAAATATTATCAAACGAAAACTCTAAAAACCTTTTCGTCTTTTTCTTCTTGAAGTCTGCACAGTCACTCTGTTATCAAAGTCACAGCATTGGTAAAAACGCTCACAGTATACAGTGGATGCCTGGGAAGCAAATGAAATTTGATGATTATCTACTGTGTACCTGTGGAGGAGTCCTTGGTGTTTGCCTAATGATGGGGATACTATGGGACACTTGCTCAAGGCTGCGAGAAAGAAAAACGGAGAACAAAGGTTAGTGTCGTAACGAGCCCTTTGCAGAAGGGGCCAAACCACCCCTCAAATCGGTCATTTAGGCTAAATTTACATATCTTTTACATTTCTTTTCATTTCTTGACCAAACTTGCCGAGTAGACTTCGATTTAAGTTCTTGTTTGACGCAAAATGTCAAATCATGACGTAACAAGGACTGACGTCACCAAAATGGGTTAAATGAATTTTTAATTTCAAAGTCAAACTTGTATCATCTGAAAGAGAATTAGAAGGGGAGTAAAACGCTGAAAACCGCTTTAGCTACGACACGTAGAAGTCGTAAAAGTTATTTTTTTAGAGCACCTCCTAGAACCTTTTCCTTAAAAAACGAACCCTTTGATTTATTTTCTACATTTTTTGCAAAATAAGCTGATTTTACGGCTACATAAACCTTTTAAAGTTGCCAAAATCGTATCATTCCAGGTTTCGCTTTTTTGCCTCGTTTTGAAAGTGGGAGTTTCTGGAACTCGAGATAGCCACTTGCCTTTTTAATTAGTGGCGACGTGGTCAATATTGAAACTTGTGAACTGGGACAGAGGCTTCTCTGGGAACAAGCACATAAAGGTTGCATTCCTTTTAGGCAAACTTTTTTCGGATTTAGAAAATCCAGATTGCTTGGATTTTTCTGCTTGCAGGAACAACTATCTGAAATAAGATTGATCCATAGAGTAGTTGCCTGCTTCTCTGATCATTTTCTCGATTTCAACACATCGTTTTTTATTTCCTTCCGCTAGTAGAAGTAGGTCTTTAACTAGTGGTGGTTCAAACTGAGACTCTTCAACTTAAAATTATCTGGAATTTGATCAAGAAAATTCAGAAGACACTTACGAATTCTAGAGTGTTGAGAAGCGCGTTCTACAAACACACACACACACATTGGACACTATAGTTTTAGAGTGAAAAGATCCAAGCGTTTTAGCTTCCTTACGGATTTAGAGTTACAGTGGAATCTTAGTGAGTTTATATACAATCCTTTAGCGGCATATAACAACGGTGGAGTATAATAACTTTTGTTCGAACTAACCTTGCATGACCCGCCATGTTTATCGCTGAACGAGCACGTTCTTGCGATCGAAAAGCAGTTTCGTTAAATGGAGAAAAAAATCTGAAACCAGATTGCGATACCAATATGAATGATCCAAGTGGGGAAGTGGATCGTTCAGAATGCAATCTTAAATCAAATTTCAGATCGCAAAATCCGCCGGATTTAGATTGGTCAAAAGGAACGCAACCTTATCGAGTTATTTGTAGTTTTTCAAAAAGGATCAAAATAACAGGCGAATCTCATGTGTTTTTTTATTTTTTTTTAATAGCACGATATGCAACTGAATTCCAAATTGAACAAGAAAGGTGATATGATCTCCGTTTAAAAAAAAATTTCTTGGCCAGTCATTATCAGTGGAACCTGCTAATAACGGCCACCTTACAAACTGTACACTTATGTTAAGCAATGTTTAGGTTGCCCTTAAAATGCAGCACCTTATTGGTTTTCATATTTTTTTAGTTACCCAATCACAGTTGTTCCATTCTCTGAGGTATTAGCATTATATTTCTTAGTTTTGCACTGTGTTTTTCAAAAGTCTGCATTGCTCTCAGTCAATTAGATTCAAGACGTTTTCCATGTATATTATTAGTGTCCATAATAGAATGATAAAACGTACGCTTGTATTGGTTTAAAACTAAGAAACAAAACAAGTTAAGAATAATAACAATAGTAATAGGGATCCGAAGTTCTTTTTACAGATGGCCTATGTCACATAATCTGGTTTTCAATATGGCACTGCATAAAAACTAAAAACTACTGTGACAGTACTAAAAATGACAAAATATTAAAATAGATGAACTAAAAAATGTCACACTAAGCGAACTTATTGAGATTTAAAATGTTTAAGTAATGAAATTTTAAAAGCATTGTAAGGTAGACATCTCATGTCTTCTGGAAGGGAAGTCCAGTCTGTCAATTTACTATTAAAGCATCTGAGTAGACCCCAGTTCGTGTTTGATCTAATAGATCGAACAGTTTCCTTGGAGCGGGTGTTATGGCTATGATAGTCTGAGCCTCGAGTAATCATACTGTTTCTTTCACAGTCAGTAATAAAATTATGCATAACGATTAAAGAAGTCAAAACCGGTTATGGATACTTGCTGCGAGTGCCTGCATGAACCCGTTCCAATTTTCGCTGAATTATTGCGGTATAGATTGTTTCATCTATTTATTCACTGTAACAAGACCAAAATAAAGATAATTAGCAAAAATTGGGTGAGACTGAGTTTGGCCGCTAAAGAATTATGGATATCGAGGAGGGTCAGTGTTCTCCCCTGAGACCCAAGGCGCTAAGGCGTGCCTTGATCTCTAATGACGAGTGTTATAGTTAACTAAATCACAGCTTTTGCTAGCCTGAGAATTTTGCGTAGATGTTCAAGGAATAATACACAATTTTTCAGATGTTCAAGAAATAATACACAAATTTTCAGATGTTTCAAAAAATAATACACAATTTTTCATAGTTCGCTAGCGTATTTCTTTAATTTACACATTTACACTCGCTAAAAAAATCGGCACGGCACTAAAAATTTTTGGCAACGTGCCTCGTTTACCCGTGCCGAGACAACCTCCGGGAGGTAGTCTCGGCACCCCTAAAATTTTGAGCACTGGTGCCAGATTACGTCTGGGACCGATACGTTTAGACGTCGAAAATTGGGAGTGCCTTGCCTTAAAATCGTCAGCATGGTGCAAAAAATTTGGCGTGACGTGCCAATCTTTTTAACGCGTGTAAATTGGGTATAAATGACTGTAAGTTCCTTAAGTCTTTAGGAACCCAAAGCAAAGACGACGACGACAACAACAACAACGTAAAAAAAACAATTGGTTTATAAGCAAAGCAACTTCTCTGCTCGTACATCACGCTTTTTAGTACATTTCTTTTAAGTCTACTGCACGACTACGACGTTTTATGGAGGACGTGGACATACTACGACAAATTTTTCCTTCTCTGTTTGAACGTGGATAAAGCCCTTAAGAATTCAACTCTTGGAAAAGTCGCCCACATTTGACAGATTGAGCGGTTCCAAACAGACGTGATAAAGTTTGAAAGGACGCAAATTCATTTTTTTTAGTAATGTTTTCACTGCCGTCGTCGCCGTCGTTGCTTAAGTTCCCTTTCTGGCATCCTTAATGAAAAACAATTTTCACGGCATGCAAATAATTAGAGGATATTTCACGGTGGCGCTGAGAAGATATGAATCCTATTTTGTTCTGGCCACTCCGAGGTAATGTGAAGTTTTGTCTTTAAATATGGACAACAAATATACACGGTCTAGATTGTAAAAAAACAAAGCTGGGGTTTAATACAGATACTCGCGGCTGCTATCCCATACTGAGCTCGAAATACCTCATCCTCCGTGGAAGTTACAGACAGTGCTAGGGTTAAAAGTGTAGTTTCTCGGAGCAGTGTGTGTTGCGGTTCAATTTTGTCCCTGGTTTAATTCTCATTTTCTTTTGTTTGAAACTCATTATCATACCTAAAGACAAAGAAAAATGAAATTAAAACCAGGACAAAATTAAACCACAACTGTACATAACCTGACGTGGAATTAAAGCTAAGACACATAAGGACCCATGAATACTCTCCGAGAGTAAAAAGGATTTTTTGAATGATAGTTCCACGGAAGTAATATCCGGCTACATCAGTTTTCTTGACGCAACGTAAGAGCAATTTCCTAAAAATCTTCGAAACACAGCATATCTCATATATGCACTCCGCCGCCCGGTAGCTCAATGGGATAAGCGCTGCTCTGCTGAGCGGGAGGCCGTAGGTTCAAACCCTTGCCGGACCAACACTCAGGGTCTTTAAATAACTGAGAAGAAAGAGCTACCTTTGTAATAAAATCTGCAAAAGGTTTGACTGTCTAGTCTTCTTGGATAAGGACGATAAACCGTAGGCCCCGTCTCACAAGCCCTTGCACATGTAATATAAAATCTGTGGGACGTGAAAGAACCCAAGCACTCCTCGTAAAGAGTAGGGCACGTAGTGCCCGGTGTGGTGGTTTATCTCACTTTCACACTCATGTATGGGGGAATCATTTCTCATTCCTTCATTACTTGTAAACTGCACCTTAAGCAGTCTGGCAAAGCCCCCCAACCAGTGTTGTAAATTATCCCTGAAAAGCCCTGAGGGGAGTGGATAATATGATATTTACATTTACATTTACAAGAGTTACGAAAACAAATTTTTCGGCGGCCATAAATATTATTTCGAACAACAAACAAAACAAGCTCAAGCAGCAAAGTTTGAAAACTCCTGATCGTCCATCGTAACGTTGCTTCTTGATATGATCACTCGTCATTAAAACGAAAAATAAGTCACTCGTGCTCGTTCCCGGCTTTAACGTTTTTGTTCCCAGTAAACGTTCCCGTCCATTTAAACTAACGTATCTTCACATTGAAGGTTCTCTTACCTATCCTTATTTTAAAAGCAATGGGTTTTTGAAAGTCTGAAAGGGCCCATTTCTTTGATATAAAGAAAGAAAACGAACAAAAAAGAGCAAAAAGAAAAAAAAAAGTTTGCGGTTGTATTCTAAGCTCAAGAGTCACGTAAATTGTTTATTGCGTAAGTGGGCTAAAAATTGGTTTTTCTTGTTTGCCGTGTCAAAAGCCTGTTTATCAGACAGAAAGTTGATTAATTCCTCCTCAAGATTAAAATTTTAAAGGCAGTAGGTGATCCAAATTAACATAAATGTCCTCCACACTGAGGAGCCCACCTGGTCAGTAAGTGTTTTTGAATACATTTTCTTAAACGATGATACTAAATGTTTAAATGTTAAATAGCTCAAAATTAAAGCTGGTTTCAAATATTTTCCCCTAGATTGACATTATTACACCATCTTAACCGATAAATCAGCGGGTTAAATTGTTTCCTTGCATCAGTCGCTTATTTCTAAGGAATAATTAACCACGCTATTTGGGTAATGGCAACTTTATTCACCACTTATCAATTATTCCAATATCTATAGAAAATACACATAATTACAAACAAAAGTTGCATCACGTAGAAATGAAATAGGAAGAGTTCATTGCCAAGAGCGACTCCATTGTCGCTTATTCATTGAAATGCAACGATAGCATTAACATTGAAAAGGCACGGTCCCGTATAAGATAAAAGATGTTGATCACTCTGACAGTTTTGAGTCTTTTATGTTGTTACCAAGAAGCCGTAGCTGAAGGAGGAGCGAATCGAAGTATCCATCAGAGGAATGGTTCCATAGCACCCAGCGCTAGTACTAGCTCTAACAGTCGACCGGCTACCAATTCAACCGTGAGACCAACTACACCGAAAAGTACTCTTAATGTGAATAATTCGAACACGCCTAATAAACCGAAAAATTCGGTAAATATAACTCTTCATGAGCACGATATCCCGTTTTTCTCCGCCGACTTCAAAAATCGTTTAGCAACATGGAAAAAACTCTTGCAGAATACTTCAAGGCACTGCATCGAACCAAACTATACCAACCAGAGGCCCATAGAGATAGATTTTCCAGTTTTCGGAGTGAAAGAAGATGTCGAGGATGGCTTTTTGCCCTTGGAAACTATACTGCCGGTTCTAGTGAGACGAAGGAAAAAACATGACCTTGTCCAAATCGCTTACATGGCCATTTTGGAGTTATGGCCTCTTCTAGTGCTATGCTTCTCATGTGCTGCACTGTCGGGAATTCTAGTGTGGATACTTGTAAGTTGTTTTTGCACGAGGTCATTCTTGTAACAGAGTTAAGGGTTACCTTCAGTGAATCGTAACTTTAAGCGACTTCAAAATAAGGCCTCTTTCAAACGTCGTGCTACTGCCGTGCTAAGCTGGCTCGACTGTATCTCGACTGCAGCACGACACTAGCACGACTTGGTTTCAGACGTCGAATTTAATTCAGTCGAATAGAACGGCTGTTGCCGACAAAACACAAAAATAAAAAACGGTTTAGCAAATTTTTATATGTATTCTAATGTATTTATAATTTATGAATTGAGTTCGGTACGGCGGTAGCATGACGTTTGAAACCAAGTCGAGCTACTGCCGTGTAGCACGGCAAGGCGGCTAAACAGCAGTAGCACGACTTGGTTTTGCCGTGCTACACAGCAGTAGCACGACTTGGTTTCAAACGTCGCGCTACTGCCGTGCTAAAGTCGAATTTAATTCGATTGAATTGAGTTCGGCACGGCAGTAGCACGACGTTTGAAACAGGCCTAAATCAAAGCGCCTTTGGTTTTAACGTTTTAAATATTTCAAAAGAAAACTGTTAAGACTAGAGATTAAAATATATGTGTATTTCTAGCAAAAAATAAGATTCAACCGACATAACCATATTAATAATTAACTAAAGTTAAATGAATGCAAAATATTTGCCGACTCTTTGAAAATAATGATAAATCAATTTTTAAGCTACAATTTTCTAACAGCTACTGCTTCATTTCTAAAGGACAGCAGATCAAATCCGGAGCAGTTTCCTAAGCGATTTTGGCGGGGAATTTTTGATGGAATTTGGTGGGCCATCGTAACCATGACAACTGTTGGGTAAGAACACGAGAAGAATGTTGAGAACGTTTTACATAATTTTTATACTATTCATCCCGTCAGAATGTCATTTTACACTTTTTTCATTTCACCCCCCCCCCCCCCCCCCCAAACTTCGGCCGCGCTTCTTTTTTGGGGGCCGGGGGAATCCACAAAACAACAGTTCTCAGTAACAAAAATAATTTCTTTTTCCTGTGGGGGGCAAATGGAGGAAGAAAAAAAAAATAAAAAAAAAAAAACGCCACAAGAGCCAGGAGGGAAAGAAAAAAAAAAAAAAAAATCCCTTTTTTCCTTCCCCCCCCCCCCCCCCCCAAAATTCGGTGGCTGCATTGCTCTTGGAGCGACTGGCAATTCGTAAAACCAGATGTCTTCAGTAATAAAGCTGTACTGTTTCCGTGTGGGATCAGATGAATGATAGCAATAATGAAACCAGAAAAAGATGGCCTCAAAACGTTTAGGGACAAATTATAAACAAAAAAAAGAAAATTGAATTGATGAAATGGGTCCTTGAATGAAGTAGTTATATGAAATAGACAAATTGACACGCGCGCACTACTGATAGATGGATAAGACGTCAACAGCTTGGTCACCATCTGCCAACAACCGCCCCACCAAGAACTACATATATTCATACGGAAATATATGTTCAATGGACTTAACATGTACACCTTTCATATTTTCATAGCTAGACGGTTTAACACGATGCATTATAGATAGGAGTGGACGTTCCCTGGAGTTTGAAACTTTGTTAATAATAGACCTCTTTACCGAAACGGCGGCCATATTGAATTAGTTCGATTTAAGGAGTATTATAGATGCCCAGGGGGCATGAGCACATTTCGTTTGTATTTTCGAGTTTTTTTCGGGTCATTTTTTCTTAAAGTTTTGTTAGAATAAAATTGTAATGTAATGATCGCCTTTTTCTAGTTTAGTATTAGAATGTAATCTTTCACTGTATATTTCTCGGAAAAAAGGCGATCATTATTACATCCAAACACGGCACAAAGATCTTTTTTCCCATTATAATCTTATTCTAAGAAAACTTTAAGTAAAAATGTCCCGCAAAGCGCTCGAAAATACAAACGAAATGTGCTCATGCCCCCTGGGCATCCTATAATACTCCTTAAATCGAATTAATTCAATATGGCCGCCGTATCCGTAAAAAGGTCTATTTTGCGATCTTGCCTCTCTAAGAAATCGTATACACTTACAGGTGTAGACGTGTATTTTCCTTTTAAAACACCAAGCTGAGTAGAGAGCCGGAAATAGCTGACCTGCGCGTCCACAGTAACGACCCCAGAAACAATTTCGGGACTCATTTCGGTTCCAGGGGCCCGTTTCTCGAAAGTCCAGATAATTAACGGGCTCGTAAAGCCGTTGTTGATTACATACAAGATAGAGGTTTCAATAGTTTTGCATCTAACATGATAAAACGATCAGTTCGTGAAAAACAATGGAATAGTTTTATAGCCAGGACCCGCGCTCTTATTCTTTATATTTCGATTTGAATATTTGATTTCGGGCCCGAAACGTTATCGGGACTTTCGAGAAACGGACCCCAGCTCTCTTCTCGTTTCTGATGTAGCGAACGCAGAAAAAGGTCAGATGGGCAAACTATGATTGCAGCGCGCACCCGTTCAGGTCTATCAAAGTGTCAGTGGCAGAGAATCAATTTAATACAACTGGTGATAAGTGCTTTTTTCTATTTTAGGTATGGAGACAAGACCCCCAGGTCACTGTTAGCTCGACTCTTTGCAATAGTATGGATGGTTTCGGGCATCATTTTGCTGTCCATGTTTACTGCCCAAGTGTCGTCTCGTCTAACAGCTCAGGAACTAAGGAGTGATCACCATTTATTTGGTAAAAAGGTAAACCGGATTTTTCCCTTCTTTTCTTTTTTCTCTCTTTTTTTTCAGAATACATTGCTTGACTCCTGACTTGGTTTACTATATATAGTTTGCAAGGGTGTTAACAAAAGACAAAAAGATACGCCGTAATGTCTTTCACATTTTATTACTTACTTTTGCCAGCGGGTGTTGTTAGGCGAGCATGCGCCTTATACTTTGTTGCTGTTCACTCGTGCTCTCGGCAGCCATATTATCATGGTAAGCGAGTACGTAGTTGTTCCTATTAAACCGTAACTTTTAGCTTTTCACGGTCATCCTTTTTGTCGTTAATGGAGTTGGCTATCCCCCCAAATTAAAGCTAAGCTGAAATCAAGACAACAGGACATATCGTGGAGTCTTTGACATGATACATTAACTTGGCATTCCTCCTCAAATTAAAGCCCCCCTTGTTCGGTGTTGATGTCTTTCACTTGCTTAGCTTACTTCAGGCTATCCCCCAAACTAAAACATCCCTAGTTAGGCCTGCGTGTGTTTTCTACTCCAAAAAACGTTAGACTAGAATTTTTGATTGCCAGACTCAGAGATATCAATATCAAGTGCTCTGTGACCACTTTTTTGAGAAAGAGGTTTTTATGAATTCATTCATTTTGCAGGTTGGAGTACCGCCGAGCCTTTACGGTTCTGATTATGTTGACTACAAGATGACGTATTCTAGAGTGGAAGGTATTTATGACTGCTTTTTGCGAGTGTATATGAAAACGTCTAGTGGGGAGAGTTCAAACGCCATGATTTTTTTATTCTTTCCTAGTACGCCAGGGGTACCCAACGACTGTTTTCTGTAAAATATCTGTTCGGAGAAGTAAATATTGCCGAATTTGCGGAAGCCCAACTAATAAATTCCCTCGGAGGCTTGATTTTTCACATTTCACTCCCCAGGTTAGGCTATTTTTCGTAGAACAAAGGAAACCTAAAATTTTCGGATTCAAAAATGTGACGGAAAGGGGAATCAGAAAAATTCTCTCCTTCGTAATACGTTAAATTGCACCTAATATTTTCGGAAAATAATACTGTAGCCCTTGTAATTTCGAAAGTACTCAAATACCCTCGGATGGCCGAACAGATACAAATTTTATAGCGCCGCTTAGAATGCATTTCTAGAGATCTTAAGTACTCTGGATAGCCTAAAATGTGTTTTCAGTGTATTTAGGAGGAAACCGTCGTTGCATGAAACGCTTTCAATACTGTCGCAACTGAGAAACAGTCCCAAACAGTATAGTATCGTATCCAAAACTATCGAATACGTAAGACTAGTTAACACAGTGGCATGACAGCAGAATTAAATTGTGTTATTTCGCTGCTAAGCCAACCGAAGGAAGTAGAGGAGCATGTTTGACCTTTATTACAGTTGACATCTTACCGACATAAAATTTTCAGAATTTTACCTGTATTTTAACAATTATTGTAAAATTTGAGATTTAGTTTCTCGGGGCTCCCATGACAAATTTTCTTTGGTGTTACTACAGATGACTAATTAAATCTTTAGCCCTTGAAAAATGTAAAAAAGGATGCAATATTCCTTAAATTATCCTGGTACAAGGTTTTTGTCTACGGAAAATTAAAGTTACTCAATTTCCTGGTGGATTCCGTCTTAATATATCGAGAGTGGGCTATTGCTATTTCCTGGCTCTGTCCCTTTGCAGAGATTGAGAATGAAACAGCGCTGGACCACTCAGATCAGCTGGACTCAATAGTGATATTCCACTGTGATGGAAAAAAAGAGAAAGATTGGGAGGTGCTCCAGTTTATGCCAGCATGTCAAGTTGGTGCGAAAGTTAACTTTAGAATTCACACACCTTCTTCAGATGAGTACCGGAAGATCGATACTGAACTGAATGATCTCAGATGCTTAAAAATGAGGACGGCCCGCAAATACATGACGTATTCGCAAGAAAGCCATGGGAGTGAAACAAAGATGCACAGGACCTGCAACGAGTTCTTGGAGAAACAAGACAATCGAAAGTTTGAGTTCAAGTGGGTTTATTTCACAGATCTTTCGCAGTACCTTATTCCATTTGGTGCTGTGGTTGGTGCAATCGTCTTAGCTTTCATCATTGGCGCCATCTGGGAATGTCGAAAGAGAGGAAAGAAATCAGGTAAATTTAACTCGAGTTCCACCAACATTGCTGGCGTTATAAAAAGTTGTGATTAAATTTATGAGTCGCCAGCCCACACGAGTAGCAAAGGTTTTCCTGGTTTTATGGATAAAAATACCGCCAGTAATAAAAAACGCAAATTTTATGCTTCCTTATAACCAAGTAATTTTCACATTTCGTAATCTAATTTCCATAACTTTATTTAGCCAGAATTCCTTGCGTAATGAGGATTAGGGTTAGGGTGGATATGAATCTCATTAGTATCCTGCGTTCCTGGGGATATCTCGCTTTAATGTATTGGACATTTTGCCGAGGAGGCGGGGGGGCGGTGGGGGGAAAGGAGCCGCCAAGCTTCTAAACGCCCTATTCCTTAATAGAATTTAAAATTCATCGGTCTTTGCGGTACTTTTTTTTAGCCTGCGTGGCAGGCGTTCGGATCGAAGATTCAGGAAAAGGAGAATTTTGGGCGCAAGACTAACCTCCAAGAAGCCCTTTCCCTTCCCTTTCGCCACGCAGACTATACCTTTTTTTGTTTTGTTTTGTTTTTTTTTGCACTACAGGGTTCTACCTCCCTATCGAAGGGCTATATTATACGTTTGTGATTTGAAATTATTATTTTATTATTACTATTTTTGACCGTAGAGGGAACCGCCACTTATGTCCAGAAATGCATGCATGGCGAAAATGGCGAAAAATCGCCAGAGGGCTGGAAATTCTAATTGGGTGCCAAAAGTGGCCTCTTAGAGAATGGCGATTGCATTTCTGGACATATCTCGTGGGATGGTAGGGCGCTTGACCGCAAAGCGGGAGGTCTTGGGTTGGATCCCTAGGGCCTAACCAATACTCAGGGCCGCTACCTTTTGTCTTAGAAACGGCTAGACCTTCGCGTGGCTCAGAGAGCCACATGCGAAAACATGGAGGTCGCTTTTCCACGAACGGAATTAAAAAAACTATTCTTAATCAAAACTTCTCCTGCTAAATACATACATTTCAGACTCAAGTAAACTGCTTTTTTATAAGCTAAGAAATCAATTAATACTCAGTGGATTAAACTTTGCTTAGATGTTTTTAATTTACCTCCCATGTACAGTCAGTGAAGTATATTCAGTCTACCTACATACCGAACGTGTTTCTTCTATCTTAAGAGCTCGACCAACACGTACGTTTACACTTTTTTTTAACAGGTTTTGATGTCCCGCAACAAACCCGGCTTCCTCATCAGTCCCGCTCAGTAACAGAGAAGGAGCCCATGATTAGCCAAACGTCTAAGTGCTAAAATGTTATCAAGCTGATTACTATGACTCAAACGATTGTAGAAAGCTAGTTGACATATGAGGCTTATATAAGTATTGCTGAAATCTAGGAGCTATCTAGGAGGCGTTTCATTTCAGTTTTACCATAGCACATGCAGCTGGCATGGGCTGCTTATCAATCAAAGTTGTCGCATAGGGGTTATTAAGCCAGGAACGTGTAATATGTATTTAAGGACAACATGCAAATAATTTTTGGCGTCTGACTAAGTTAATTTAAAATAACACTTTACAGGCTTTGGCAAATTTCAGATAAGATTCGTAAACTTATGGTATCGCTAGGCCGGAGAAAGCCGCTTTGATAGAGTTTGTACCTTAGTCGCTGGTCTTTTTAATAAACCTGATTGTCACGTGAATTAGTCTGAGTATATGCTGTCAAACTTGACAGTGATCTTAATTGGAACGTTCATGTAAAAGAGTTCAATAATCAAGTCCTTTTCACAAAAATTAAATCTTCTCAGGTCTTTGTATTTCTTACAAACTACAGCGAGAGGTGATATTTATTTCAAAGTAATTTTACCATCAGTTACCTCTGGGTTGGATGTATAGGGTTCCCCCTTCGGCAAATCGCTCTTTGATGAGCTGGAGAAGATACATGAACGTGCCGCAAATATCATCTATGGCCTGGATTGGTACACACCAAGCGATCAGGTCTTAACCCACTGTTAAAGATTTATACGAATATAGATTACTCATGTTAGCACACACGACTGTTTTAAACTTTTTACCCGTTCCTATTATGAAGCTGTTTACGAAATATGAGTGCAACTATAACTTGGGAAGGAAATTGACCTTTTTGTTACCAAAACCAAACACTGAAGTTCTTCGCAAGTCCGCTTGTTACAAAGCTGTATCTCTATGGAATTCTCTTGACAATCATACGCGTGCAATCTCAAGCAAAAGTTTATGTAAAAACTCTCTTAAACGCAGAACTTCATGCGAATAGCTTAGTTTAATAAATATAATTTTTAAATGGGATAGACCGTTTTCTAAATTTTAATTAGTTTTAAGCTTTTTATTAATTTGTAAACTGTGTTTAACTTTTCGAAATACACGACCACATCAGCTCCGCTGTAATTTTATCGTGTTTAAATAAATGGTCTTGCTGTTACCTGTTAAATCTGGATGCTAATTTACTTTTATATCCATCCCTAGCTCCACTGGAAACTTTTGTGCGTCTTTAACCACTGGGCGCCGTCCAGCCTAGGTCGCCTTCTCTTCAAACTAGTACTGACGTCCCATTGTAGGATCTGTGTTGCCGTAGATATTCACAGCTGCCTTTATCTTGGTTATCTTATACTTTGCTTCTACTGACTTGAACCCTGCCACCGCCCCCCCCTCCCCTCCCCCTTTAACTCCTGGGGAGATAGAGTAACTCAATGGATCCGTGTGGGTGCTTTGCTCCATTCTCACCATGAACTTCTGTGTATTATGTTCAATTCTTTGCAGCTCAGCTATTGGTAACACTTGCGTCTGCACTAAGTACGTTAATGCCGGTAGCGCAAACTAATAGGTCGCTACTGTCTTATTGTCATCTGATAGGGGGCCCATCCAAATCACAGAGAGCCTTTTAAAATACATTCTTGACATTCTCCAGTACTAGATTGACTTCCTGTCTGATGTCCTTTAGCACTCCAAGAAACTTGTAATTAGACCAGTCCTTTAAGCTTTGACATGTGTTACCGCGCACTTTCTTCTTCTTCCAATGAAGACCGATATCTTTCAATGCGTCTCTCATATCTTCCATTACCTTCGCCAACTTTCCTTCTGATGACGCATAGATCTTTAAGTCGTCGATATACAACAGGTCAGTGATTTTAGCATCTATAGCCTCAGATAGACGGTAGCCCTCTGTCGCTAGTAGCTTCCAGACAACAGGGTTTACTGACAGCATTAATAGCCTAGGACATAGAGCATCCCCCTGGTGAAGACCTTTCTTAAATCTAATAAGTTCGGATGTTTGAGTCACCTGCTTGGTTCACACTGAGACCTGCTATGCCATTGCCAATCCATCTCGGAAAGCGGTGTATGTTGAACATTTACTTAAGGCATTGGTGATCTGCTGATTCACACGCCTTTCGTACATCGACCCACGCCATGCTGAAGTTTTCCCGCCCGCGTTGACTGTCTTGACATGCAGACCTTATGATCGATCAACAAATTGTCAGTCATGCCAATGCAGTTCTACTACTGGTTTTCGCTTGAAAACTCGTCCAATTTCAGGAAAAACGTCGTCTTTCCCGCGGTGAATCATAATGGAATGTCCCAATCACTTTGTGTTATAGCTTGAAATGACTGAACTCGGCCACTAAAGCATGAAGAGCGTCTTCTTCCACCACAAGTTTGCTAGGCGATCTGGTCCAGGTTATTATTATTATTATTATTATTATTATTTTTAAATCGACAGGAATTGTAAATAGTGTTTTGAATGAATAGTTTTTTCTTCTTTTCAAGCGAATTAATTGTAAATAGGATTTTAATAGTTAGCATTGTTGTCAATAAAATTTTTTCACATTTTAAAAATTCACTACGCTAGTGCAATACGTAAGTTTTGTCCTACTATGTTAGAATTAAACTGCCGTTATTTTAAAATTATTATTATTATTATTAGTAGTAGTAGTAGTAGTAGTAGTAGTAGTAGTAGTAGTAGTAGTAGTAGTAGTAGTAGTAGTAGTAGTAGTAGTAGTAGTAGTAGTAGTAGTAGTAGTAGTAGTAGTAGTAGTAGTAGTAGTAGTAGTAGTAGTAGTAGTAGTAGTAGTAGTAGTAGTAGTAGTAGTAGTAGTAGTAGTAGTAGTAGTAGTAGTAGTAGTAGTATTAAGTTATTATTATAAAAAGTAATCTCCAAAAAGTATAGAGTTTACGCCAATGGTGTCGTCTTGATGCAAAATGATCTTTGAGCTGAGTGAAAAAACACTAGAAGAAATTTCAATTGCGCCATACACAATTGTCTATCGACGTATGTAAAAGAACTGCTGGCCAGTGTATGTTTTCCCGCTCAAACAGCTGGTATAGAAACAGCTATGCACAAGTGTACCAGGCGTGTTTGCTTTATCTCTACCTTCTAAGTTCTGTTTGCTCAAAGGGATCTCCAGAAGTGTCAAAGTTTCTCGAAACAACACAGCTGAATAAACGACTATCTAACTTTTACTTAGTGTGATAAGGACAAAAAATGGTCAACAGATCATGCAATGGATGATGTCCTAAAACATTTTGCACAAAAAAGAAGGAAACGTATCTTAATGTAACTTTATCTTAATGCTGCCAAGAGAAAGCCACGTATATAAAGGTCCTCCGATGACGGTAAATGGCACCTGTAAATTTGAGCGCACTTTGATCATTTCATATTTCTGCATTTACTTCCTCGTGATCTCAGGGATCAAATCCTTGGACCAGCACAACAAAACTGGACTAGATATGGCAATTTACTATATATGCTTTTCTACGGATTACGAGGTATTCAGTCTTGACATTGCTAGTAACCTATCAAGATCTCTCTTGGCGTGGCAGGTAGGCGTGACTCCCATGTTTAAATAGAAGAAGAGCCGATTGTCTTCCTTTTACCCTATCCTGAGCAGCAAAACCATTAAGAAGCAACAATGAATATGTGGATTTCTTTACTCATTATTGCTCTGTTGAAGGATGCTGAAGGATATTCGTGGGTAAATGCTGTGAGGTAAGATGTGTTCTCGAAATTTGTTGAGTTTAGTGACTTTTTTCAAAATTAAAACTCTTCCGTACTGACAAATACCATGAAAACATTCCGAGTGATCAAGGATCCATTTAGACAAGAAAAACAGGTCATTGCATGTACATGTTCAAAGGCAATGAATAACTGCTTTTTTATTTGGCTTTTTCAAAACTGATTAATTAAACACCCAAAAATAACCGATGTTTATTGCCAAAGCAAGTTGTACAACTGATGGGAAAAGTTAGATTCTAGCCTTATAGTATTCATAAGGTTAAGACTCCCTTATAATTTATTTAAGATCCAGTCGCAGTGTACAGTTTGCCGATGATACGAAAAATATTTTAAGAAAACAAGAGGTAGCTCAGAAACCTCCAACTTCAAATAAAATTAAAACTGTGTGGAAATTTAATTTTAGCATTTCATTTCAATCAGTGCGCAATGGAGCCCAACACCTGTAAAAGCCTCTATCAATCTTATAAAAGCGCCATGTCGTTTTTGGTTCATTTCATGACAGACTGCCACGACGGTTGATAAATAAGTTGTCATGCTATTGCGTGTCGAACTTAGAAAATCATGAATAATGAATGCATAACACTTTCTTGACTTTCGCTTTTCATTGTTGCTTTTAATTTTGGCAACATCTTTTTTATTCGACTGAATTAAATTTCAGCAAGCGAATATTAACGTTAAAAGACGACGTTTCGGTATCATCATGACACCATTCTCAAGAAACGTCGGCTGTCAACGTTAATATTCGCTTGCTTATGTTTTAAGAAATCGTTATTGATCATGAATTAAATTTGATGTCTGAAACCAAGCAGGGCAAAACCAGTATCTTCATCAGTACCTAGTAGTAGTGGCAGTAGCAGTAATAGCTGCAGTACCCAGGGATCAAACCCGTGACGCTCTCGCTCTGCAGAGATGGCTCACGGGCCAGTTGCTGGTGGCAGCCATCAAACTATCAGATGTGGATATGCGTCAGTAATTAAAGTATCAGTGCTGATCTTTTAGATCTTCATTTCGCTTGTTTTTGCTGTTTCTTTTCTTCAGAGCGAAATCAGATACCCAAGCGAGTCCTGGAGTCAAAACTAAGCGCTCTCTTCCAACTCGTCAAGTGTTGGCCGGATACTGGGGACAAAACTCCATCGCTTACAGAGTCAGCCGCCCAAAGTGGGAGAAAGACCTACGTTACTTCTGCAATAATCACAAGTTTGATATCTATTTGGTCGCGTTTGTTCATCGCCTGTTTCGAAATAACAGAAACAGAGGTACCTTTCTAGGAAACTCTTATTGACATGAAGTACAGGCCGCCCTTTTTTTTTTTCGTTTAGCTAGCCTTTTCCAACAACCTTGCTCTTATTTGCCGATGATGCAGCTCTAGCAGGTTCATACAGAATACAACTGATTGCAGCCCGGCTCTATCGGCGTAGGTGCAGGATTTAGTGAAAATTTTAAATTGATGGCAAAACTTTTTTACTATCCACTTTGTTATCATCCATTAGATGGTTATCCTGGAATGAACTTTGCTCATCACTGCAGCTACGCTCCAAACTCCAGGAACCCTGATGTGTTTGAATGTGCTACAATTGGGGGTGGCATCAGGGATTGCCAAAAGATGGGTAAGAAGTTGCTAATATCCCTTGGCGGGGATACTTGCGACGGGAGCCTGGGTAGTGCTGAGAATGCCAAGAAATTGGCATACTATATATGGAATATGTTCTTGGGTGGAAAAGACATGCAGGATCAAAGGCCTTTTTTATGGTAGGGCCTGAAATATTTTGAAGTCTTTTATTCAATTAATTAACTGTTACATACATAGGCCCTTTTAATTCTGTTACTGCTGGACTAATCTCCATAAGAATAAAGTCAGAGATGTCAACGCAGATAACTTGGTTGGCGCTTATGTATCTTTATACTCTACAACAATGTCAAAAATATTATGCTGATACTTCTACAGCATAATAATTAAATACGATTTTTTTTTTTTCAAAAGTCCAATTTTCATATCTAACCCAAACCAAAAGTATGTTATTTAAAAGCTGTTTTAACAGCTGTTAAAATTATTGGACCTATACAGTAGAAGCTCGATATAACGAAGTACCAATTGACAGGCAAAAATACGTAATCGATGTCATTCTTTTCTATGCAATTTACCATAAATGGGGCGAAGAATATATCGTTTGTCATACAAAGGACTTTGTTTTATAAAGGTTCTTTTAGGTTCCACTGTATCTTGTATTCAAAAGTAGGCGCGCGCCCGTGCCACATTTTAGCGAATGACAAGTTAGTCTCTCATGATTTGTAGGACGGTTATGGATGGCGTTGATCTCGATATCGAGATCGGAAGTCATAAATACTACTCTGACTTTGTCCAAGAGATGAGGGGCTTGATGGGCACAGACCCTAGCAAGCAGTACCTAATTACTGCGGCTCCACAGTGCCCTTTCCCAGATAAATGGATGGGACCACAGATTCAGGGCTCTGCTCTGGAAGGTGAAAGGCTACTTCTGACTTCCCATATTTTACTTCTTAAAACCTTTCTTTAAACAATGTAGAGATAGGATTATTGCCCCCGGATTTCGAAATCTATCTAGATAAGAATAATTTAAGGCGATGTTAAACATTGTTTATCATATTTACAGCTTTGTACATCTTGCATAGAAAGGAAAATCTTTAGCTATCTTTGTTACGTTGCCGTAAATAGGAGAAGGCAGCACTACATAACTGCTTTTCGTGATAATCTGGCACGAGACAGGGTTTACAGACTTTTGAATAAGGGACGTTAAATAAGAAAAGTTTAAAAAAATAATTGGTTAACGTCAACGCCGCAACGCAAGTCACAGAAAAGATATCAAGCAAAGAAAACTGGGCTGCAGGCTTATACTTTGATCCACAGCAGATTCCTTTGGTGCATTGTACGAAACCCTGTTAAGACTGATATCAACTTACAGTTAGGTAACATATATAGTACTGTACATAGATACATTTCTGTTTAAAACAGCTTAAAATGGAACATTGTATCAGAAATGTGGAATTATTTTTCTATTGTGAAATCAAACGGTCATCACGAGCAAACGTTTACAGCTTCGTGGCCTGAAAGCGTACGAGTATGCGGGCTGCGAACTGGAGCAGACTACAAAATAATCAAACACTTTTCAATTTACTGTCAAGTAGAACACCAACATTTTCGTTTTGAGGTATTTTTCACTACATAAAGCACTTTCCAATTGTCACATCCGTTGACGGTTTCAAAAGTGTCCATTGTCCGCCATCTTAGAGAGGTTTCCTTCTTATAGAAAGTATAGTTACAGTAAAATTCCGGGATGAAAAACGGCAGGGACCAACACCACATATCCGTCTAAGAGAGCTGTCGGCCGTCTTATAGAGATGTCCGTTAAGGGAGTTGACCGAAACTGCTTTTGAGACTCAACCAGCAATAACTTAACTTGTTTCTTGTTAGATTTTGGGCACGAATTTGACTACCTGTTCATCCAATTCTACAACAATTACTGTTACCCTGGTGACAAATACTTCATGCCAGTAATGGACACTTGGTTGAACTGGGCACGAAGTATTCCTAAAGGACCTCTAATCGTACTTGGTTTGCCGGCTGGACCGCAGGCAGCTGGCAAGCCGCATTATTATTTTCCTCCTGATAAACTCGCAACAGTTTACAAGGTAACTAATTTGCTCGCTACTTGCCCTCTCATATATTGCAGGAAATGAATTTAGGCTCTCAGTATATGCGTATTCACATTTTCTGGTCTAACATATAATTTTGAATGAATAACTAAAACTGAATCATTGGATAATGCAATTCTATAGCTCTGATTGGATTGGCCATCATGGTATATGACCCATTACCATGCTCTCCAAATATACGGTAAATGTATCCGTCTGCTCAAAATTTAAAAAAAAAGCTGAAACTCGGTTGTTTTCACAAATAAAGTCAGGAAGAATCCTCGATATTTTGTGGGCGTTTTTAATAAAACAATTATTCCACTCGCGCTTGTTAGATATGAGAGGATTATAGCCAACTCGGCGCTACGCGCCTAGGCTATCCAACATCTCATATCCAACGCGCACTCGTGGAATAATTGTTAAATATAAAATATCTTGGATGAGACGACAACGTACGTGTCCTCTTTTTTTATTTTCCTGCCGTATGTATGCTGCACAAATTGAGAAAAAAAATGACGTTTTTCTCAGATACGTCCTGAACCTAAATACGCTAATGTGCAATGTTCAATCTTTTATCCCTGCCCTATTTTTTAAGAAGAACTAATAAAAACATTACCTATAAGGACAGGTCTGAGAGAAGTTTGAAATGAAAGGTTATCCATCCTACAATTTTCGATTATCTGGCAATTTTATATAGTGACCTTTCTATGCCCTGTACTACTGTGTACATCGAAGCACTGTAGTCTATATGTTGGTCTACAGGATGCATGTGCATCGCAGACGACGCTAATAAGATCATCGTTTATTTGCTGTAGAAAATACGTGACAAGCCCGGCGTTGGTGGACTGATGTTTTGGGATTGCTCCTGGGTACAAAACAATATTGTTAATGGTAAAGATTATGGCACACATGCTTTTGAACTGCTGTGGGGTATCGCGGTCACACCGACTACAACATCAACCACTAGCACCCATGCTCCTCCAAAAACAACGCAGACCTTACCGAACAAGAAAACAACCACCCAGACAATACTTCAAACGACCAAGAGCCCTGCTACAACACGAATCCCTACAGCTGGTGAGTAAGGACTTTCTTGCCCTGTCCTTTCAGCATCTTCTTCTGGAAATGATCTCAAGATGTTATCCACTAATTTAGAATGTACAGGGCACATATTCTCTTTAAATTATATAATCAAAAGTATAAAATCATTACATCAATAACGATCGTATCCGCAACCTGATCCCTCGCCAAACATTCCAGATCGAATCTGAATTTAGAAATGTTTTGAAGAAAGGGAATACCGGACTAGCTGGTGAAAATCCTCGCGGACAAACTGGACAAGAACCAATTAGAAACTCAACCTATACATGGCGTCACCTCCAAACTTGCATCCGAGGGCCACATTCACCATTTCCATATAGACCCTCCAAAATTTTGCATAGCCATTGTCTTCGATTTTTCTTGGGACGACTGTGATACCCAGGAGAAATTGGACACAATGGTTTATGCAAAATTTTGGGAGGATAAACAAGGTGCATTACGATCTATGGGCCTAGCCTGTTTACATGGAGGTGGGGGACCTCAGGTAGGTGAGGTAACCCGCTTAGGTGGGGTAACCCGCCTGTCCATACAATCTCTCATTTTAATGTGATCACGTTTACATGTTAGGTGGGATAGCTCGCCACATGTTACCTCTCCTACCTAGGGTCCCCCACCTTCATGTAAACAGGCCCAATGAGAAAATGGTGCATTGATGGGTTGTGGGCAAACGTGCTTCCAAACTTTTATTCAGTAACTCTTTATTCGTAATACTTAAACTCTACGACTTGAAACTTGGCGTTAAATGATGAGCAATCATAACCGAAAAATATTAAAATTAGAAATTATTAATACAATAAACACCTTCAAAGGAAGCTGTTGATAATTTTGTTGTCTAAATTTTTGTTGCTATCACCATTTTTAAGGACCAGGGGGCTGTGCCACGGATGGCTATTTTCCTGACCCATCAGACTGCTCCAAGTTTTTTATCTGCTCAGCCGGTGTTCCCTTTGTCAGAAGCTGTCCTGCAGGATTGATGTATAACAAAAATCAAAAGTATTGCGACTGGCCTCAAAACGTTCAATGTTAAAAAGATAAAACAACAAGATGAGGAGTGATACATTGACAAATAAATAAACAACATAACTGAGCCGCAATTATTCAATAAACACGAAAGTAGTGTATGACACTGTTGATAGTGGTTTGGTTTCATTACGCTTTTTTAGACTTTAAAGTGGGAGGAAGAGTTTAACACTATGACAGTTGCGGCATGATGGTATTTCAAAACCTGATGAAACGCAAATGCAATAATAATAATAATAATAATAATAATAATAATAATAATAATAATAATAATAATAATAATAATAATAATATAATAATAATATTAAATAAAGATAAAGAAAAAGAAACAGCTACCATAGGCAGCCTAATTTCCCAACCTCCTTTCTCCCACCCTCATCCTCCCCCTTCTCTTCTATTCTAGCAGTAGTTGTCGGTAGATGTTTTTATTTCTGTTTATTAATTAAGCATTATCTTATTATTAATTCGCGAATATATTTTTACGGCCCTAATTGGCTTAAAGCATTCGTCCAATCATCTATCAAAACACAATGTCGCTGACCAAATATGAAAAAAATGCGGCAATTGACCAACGGAACACAAGAGTATATGAGTTTATGTGCATGCCAAAGTAATCATCAAGTCATGTTAAAAATAATTTCTCGTTAAACGTCTGCAAAACGACTCGCAAAGAGAGGGCGATGCGAACTGCACTAATAGCTTATAAAAGGAGGGGGGGACTCCTACACCTCTGTAACTTTTGATTGGACGCATCACTTTCCTCATTTGCATATGAAAATTTACGACACAGCTTTTCAGTGAGTATAACTAGACTCGGGATGTATTTAATATAAGAAGTGTTAGTGACATTTCGAGTTGCGTTACATTATGTACGTCCTGACAATTATCACGTGTTTATGTCATGTGACGTTGTTGTTGAACTCGAACTCTTGGATGGAACTTGACTCGAGACTTGTCGAGATTTGTCGAGATAGTTTTGTTTTGTTTTGTTAAGAGCTTACACAGGGGCACCCGACGACAATTTTCGGAAAATATCTGTTCGGAAGACGATTTGAGATCTAGAATTTTCGGAACATTTGTTGTAAAATTTCTTGCTTGCCTGCCTCTGCTAGGATTTTCGAACATCTAAAAAAATGGCATAATTGCCTATTTTTAACGGATTTTTACCCTAAAAGGTCAACTAGAATTTTCGGGAGCCTTTTTTCTGGCTGGAATTTTCGAAAAGGTAAGTTTTGATCCCTATAATTTTCGGATCACTGGACTTTCAGCTAGGAAATCCGGACAGATGAAAAATTTTTAGGGGATAAAAATATGCCTATATTTACCGTTTAAATACTAAAATACGTTTAACAATGCTATGTTTAAGTGGTTTTGAGCTATATTCTCGTTTGGTGCCCCTGCTTACAGTCTTGGAATAGAAACAACAATAAGGTCAAGTATCCTCCGATTCTCAACAGTTATTTTATGAATAATATAAATAAAGACATGCAGGCCAACTATGTGGATAAGAATGTAGAACTAAAACTATACAATATTTTTTGGAAGAACAGCAAAAAGCTTTTAAGTATAGCTTGCAAGGTAATATGGTATGTTCAAAACCGTCCGCCACTCACCACAGTTAAATTTCTCAACGAAAAGCATGTCATCAAAAGGAATCTACTGCAAGCTAAAACTATCGAATACGAAAACTTTACTTGAGTTGAGCCATTAATGTGTTGCTTGATGTCTTGGGCCCAAAATCGCATTGACCGCAATAATATACCAGAACTTGTCCCAAACAGTTTGCAGTAACAAAAACAGCAAGAAACGCTGTTACTATTGCTAGCTAAAAATCACTTCTTTTGCCGTTATCATCTATGCTTAACCATTGTCATAAGACACTCCTAAACATGACGAACGTTTCTACTTTTCTATAAGTTGAGCAATTTCGTTCTGCTAATTAACAAGACATATCGTTGCATATTTATCCCTGATTTGAATATAATTTTAATCTCTCTCTTTTTTTTTTCAACTCACAATGACTCATTAGCATTGGTGAAAGAAAAGGAAATTAAAATTTCAATCAAGAACGAAGCTGAATCACAACGTACACAGATGCAATCTATCGCATTGAAAAAACCTCCATCACACCTACTGGTTTTACTTAGCCTGAAGAGGATCTTGTGAGTTAGCCGGAACCAAAATAGTAAATAAATAAATAAACAATAAAAACTGATTAACTATATTCAGACCGGAGAGCTTTTTAGGCAGTCCCTCTCTCAAAAATAAAAGAACTTTAAAACCGTTTCCCAGAATTTATCCGGGAACATTATAAAGTCGTCGTGACGTGTACGTCAACCTTGACGTTTCCATGGTAACCAAGATTTACAGCCATGTTTTTTCAAAATTATCATGTTTTCTATCAAAAAGGTTTTATTGCTATTATATATTTTAGTTATTGTATGCACATATGAAAATTTCTATCACGATTATCTCCATTACCTCCTAAGTAAAGTCGAATATATATGATTAATTCAAAACTGAGGATCTAAGGAGGCGGATAGTTTCAGTTCCTTCTTTGATAATAAGAGACGCCATCATGACATCACTGCTATTGTTAAATATTATTTACAGCTATTTCGAGAAAGGTTGTTGGAAAACATGTGCACGCGACAATCCCGAAATGTAATATGGGATATGATCAATAAACTGTTCGTTACACTGTAGCTGTCGAAAATACTTTTGTTGCTTTCCTTTAGTACTCGCAAACATATGTCTATGGCCTCTTGTGACATTCTTTCAAATTTTGTTGAAGAACTGTGAACTCAGTACTACCCACAATACCTTTCGGCATTGTCGCGTGCACTTTTTCCGCCAGCCTTTCTCGAAATAGCTGTAAGCGTTAGCCAGCTTCCGGCAGACACCTTTCTATTTCGCTCTTTAGCTACTTTAAGGTCAATTTCGATTCTGCCAATAAATTCAACAATATGACGTCATAATGACGTCAAATAACGTCATTGTGTCAATCAAGTTATGCCTAAATGTTTGAAATGATGAGTGGATCAGTATTCTCTGTAATTTTGATGGCCGGGTATATTTGTATCATATGCGAAGTCCCCACCGCCCCCGTCGAAAGAAGCGAAAAAATCCCCGTCTGAACAGGGTTAACATAACTATTTTCTCCCTTTGCCATTTAAGATTTTTTCTTCCTTCCCGGCCATTTTAGCCTTACGTCTTGCAGTCGATTCCTTTCAGCACGGAGTTAACTTTTAACTTGAACTTGCTTTTAACTTGGAGTATGGGAAGATTCTTCCCGTTTGAATCACCATTTTGAATTATCATTTTGACCAGTATATTATACTACTGAAAATCCGAAAACTATTCTCCGTTCCGCTTAGGCTTATTATCTCCCAGTAACGGATGAAAAATGCAAACAAAGCAGACGACCGGAAATACGTCGACTGTGTTCGCAGGCTAACTTGAGGTGACGGTTCAGTTTAGTTTTTTGGTTTTGGATCCCTAGAGCTAAAGAAAATGGCAGGAAGATGTTAAAACGGATTAGCGAAGACCCAAAAAGAAGACCCAAAAGGAAGGCAAAAATAAACAAACTGTAACTCTAATGCTGTCGACCGCTTTTTGAAAAATTTCAACAAGTTAACGAAACCGCAAGACAGATAATAGAGAATTTAAACGAACGGAAGATCTTGTCAAAGTTTGTTAAAAGCACGTTATCGGCACTGCATGAACAAAAGTGAAGCAATCATCGTCTTTCAAATTCTCGAACTGAAAAGTTCACATTGTGCAATTAAGAAATGGTAAACGTGCTGAGTGTAAACATTGCCGGACGTGAGTGGAAGGCGGCTCAATAGCGAGAAATCAATTATAGAGTTGCCCAAGGCGTAACGCCCACTCTTCTGCACGTTAACCATTTCTTTAATTATTTTGTAAAATTTGAGAATTTGAGAAGCAATAACATATTAAAAAACTTCATAAGAGAGACGCCGGTTGTGAGGAGACTTTTCCGATCCACATATTTCAATAAAAAAAATAACAACAACGAACTGAACAAATCACAGGACGAGAGTTTTACCCCTGGAGACCATAAATAAAGGAGGCGTTTATAGAGGGTCTCAATGGGGTTCACCGATAGGCGCAAACCGGCCAAAAATTTAGTCGATAGCCGTAAAAATTGAAAAATTTTAACCGTTAGCCGTAAATAGGGTAAAAAAGAGTTAACCGTAAAAGAAATTGTTCCCTAGATTTGCTACTTTTAAGGAAGGTACTAAACTCACTTATGGTTACGATTTTTATTTCCCGGCTATTGTGACTCCGTACGCACGTTATAGTTAAAGCGCCTTTTAGGTGTTGACCAACACCCATTTCCATTTCCGCCGTTCTCTCGGGGAACTAATTTTTTTTCCATAGCGAAAGTGTGGCTTCTTGCTAGGGATTAATATTTGCGATTTTCAGAAGGTCGTGCCCTCGAAACACTAGTGAAACAACACGCAGAGATCTCACTGTTTGTAAAACACGTTGCCGATAAACAACATTTCCCTGTTTTTCTCTGGCGCTGCGGTAGACATTGCCCTGCCATGCCTAGTCCCTGTACGGCGTCTTCCCACGCAGTCTCGGTCAAGGCATTTCGGTGGCGAACTCGCTCGGACCAGGTGACCCGAAAAGCATTAGCCGCGCGAAATAATGAGGCCTACGGACAAGGCAACGGCTGACAGTGGTTCCGTACAGTCCTTCACTATAATTAAAAAAATTGGACACGGGAATATTGTTATTGGCCGTTTTCACACTAGAGCTAGAAACGGATTATCCGTCTGAGACTAGCCTGTGTACAGTCGCCCCCTTCCGCCTTCCCCACAGACACCCCTTCTCCGATTTTTTTCCTGAGGGGAGGGGGCGGCTGTACACAGGCTATCTGGAACGGATAATCCCATCTTCAAACTGTCCGTCGAAATTGAAGGATAAAGTCAGGCGGATTGCTCATTCAAAATTAAAACTATTCCATTTTCAAATTAAGACGTATTTACCTATCTGACGCGAATCATCAAACGGATAACCCGTCTCACACGAATAATCCTCCGTCTCTAGTGTGAAAACGGCCATTTCTGTTGTAATCAATGTCGCGCCCCGGCCTTGATTTGGACGTTCGCGTGTGTGCTTTGCTTTTTCACAAAGATTATTTGACATTTCTATGTGCAAAATAATATTAGAAGTGGAATACTTTATAAAAAGTACCATCTATCAAATGTTAAAATTTTTCAAAAGAATAGCTTGTTTCACATCCCGAGATGATCTGAAGACCTTTATTTTGCGTTAAGGATACAAAAAATACAGGTTAATTAATATTTAACTTTTTGAAACAAAAGAAGTTAATTTTTAAATTTTTTTGTTAACCGTAACTGAAAAAAATTAGCCGATAGCCGTAAAAGAGCCATAATTCTAGCCGATAACCGTAAATACCACCACCCCATTGAGACCCTCTTTATAATTCTTGTCAGGGTTGCGTTAGTCGTTGGGCACTGGGGGCATAAAAACTATTAAACAACCAACTATTCAGACAACTGGTCTGATATAATGGTGAGATGGTTACCGTAGGGAAATAAAAACTGATGCCTCGAATGGTTGCATTGAAAAATTAATTTTCTGAATGCCTCTACGGTGCCCAGTTACGTTTACCTGATCAGCGTCGTTGATAAACAAGCTCAGTGGCATCGGCTGTTCCCTAGAGATAGGAAAGTTGATGAAAACATGCGTTCAGCAAGCCGCTTTCTATGACTTGTATTTTACACTCAAATTCAAGGTCAATTAAGAATTTGTTCATGCTTAGCGTGCGTATATCGAGTTATGGATGCACGCGGGAAGTTTGGAGAGCACGAAAGATGCGTAAGAGTTGCACGAGGCGATAGCCGAGTGCAACTCTAGCTTCTTGAGTGCTCTCCAAACTTCCCAAGTGCATCCATAACTCGATATACGCACAGCTAAAAGCATGAGCAAATTCTTTTATAAAATAGCTGACAAAAATGCTTGCTTTTTGATTAACTGCAAAATTCTCGTAACACGCTACAAAATAACAAACGGTTCTATTGGCTGATTACAAACACGCCACAATCGTCTAGTTTGAATGAAAATATTCTTTCTGTAAAAGTGACAAAGAAAATTTGCTTCTTTATTCGTTAACGATCAATGGAAACTAAGCAGAAACAAAGGTAAAAGAGTCTTAAAGTTCACCTAAAGTTAAAATACTAACATGTTCGTAAGAAGTCGTGGAGTATGGTTTGGATTTGCTGAAAAGATGATTTGCTGAAAAGAAAGTTTTGCTCAGCGAAACCCAGGAAACATGTTTTTAGCGAAGACGACTGTCATCCTTCTTTAAACTTATATTCATTTATGAACATTGGCTGGTCATTACGGCTTCTTGAGAAGACCTGGCAGCAGTTGTTTTTGTGAGTAGTAAATTTATGTCTTCTTGTGTAATTTGTGTTGTTATTGCGAGAGAAATTTTCCTGCCTCAGTCGGATTGTCCGGATAACAACGTGCATAACAAATTTAAAAACAACAATAAAAACCAAAATTTTGCCTTTAAATGTTGTTGATGACCAGTTGGTGTCTGTTCTAATCCCAGTGAATGTCTTTCGGCCAAAATTTGCTGCCGCTGGTCTTCGACAAATTTGCGAAACGCGCGACTTGCGAGTTTTTTTTAAATTCGGCTTTATTTTTGCTGCTTGTTGGATCAGGACCTAAAAGGGCAAGGCCGATAGAAAAATTGGGCAGTTGTTTGCTGGTTTCTTCCGTATTTTAAAGAGAAGGAAAAGTGCACTGCAGCTTAAAAGTCGACAACTTTGCAGCCAGGTAAAAAAAAAATGCTAACGTCACCTTATTTACGCACGGGCGTGCGTAAATAAAGATTTTGTTCATAGCGGCTCAATAGGACTTAAATAGGGGCAAGCACGCGCGCTATGTTATAAAAAGAAATATGGAATAAATTTCGGTAAGGTGCAAAATATTTCGCAAATCGAGGAGGAGGGTGTTATCAGTCAAAGCCGAAGGCGGATTCAATGATTGTTTTATAACTCGTTCAAAATATGTCCAAAACACTTTGAAAAGAGCAATACACAGGGAGACACAAGGACATTAAGCGGAAAACACCATGTTAAATTTTGCCCAAGCCTTTGAACCTAGGCAAAGGTAAGGTTTCGAAAAGTTGGAAGGGGAGGTTTTAACATCTCACTAATTTAAAAATTGTAATAAGGGAGTCATGTCCGAGACTCGCTGGGGTCTGCTTCTTTTTGTTATCAAAAAAGTTGGAGATCAAGTTTTTTCTTTATGCCAACGAGAAATGAAAAGCCAAACTGGAAAGGAATTGAAAGGTCTTCAACAATCAGTATTGATACAGTCCCGTTCCTTATTTAATTTTATTTTGCTTTGATAACGCTGTTTTCTATTCGTCTTTCCTGCATCAGTCTGTCCCGTTCTTTGGCCGTTGAATAGTTTTTTGTAGTATTGTGATATTAGTGAGCCTAGATAACAATAACAATAAAAGAAAAACGAAATTTTCGAATACTCTACCTTGACGATTATTGGATATTATTGATCAGTAAATAAGAACATTTTATAATTATGTGGCTAGTGTATATGCAAAGCCATGCTTGATAGTTCGGTAGAGTTTCTTTAGTCAAATTACTAAACGAAATGGCATGGAGTGGCCGAAAACACTACAGATATTTTGCACTACATGCGTTATCAAAAATTGACAGGTGGAGTTTTGGGTATGCATTAGCGTGTCATAAGTTTTATTTCTTCATCCGGTGGAAGTGCGTGGCGGATCCACAGCAAAAGAGGGGCTAATGATCCACTAATGAAGTTCTAACTGCATTCTTCCTTACGCAGGTTGACTTATTATAATTACAATGATAGGTATTCATGAAAACAGAGGTGGGCTGGAAATAAGACGGTATTTTAGCTCTCTGAACATCGGTTTGTTCGCTGAATGTTAGAATGTAAAGGAATGAACTGGTTCGCACTGAAATTTCACCAACAATATGAGCTCCGGTCCAGCAGGTTAGTAACGGTGTAGCTTGTGTTTTAAAAATACTACTGCCACTGTATGCTATCTAACTATCTTGTAAGTAGTTTACTGGGTGCTGGCTGTAGTAAAAGGCTCAAATTGTAGCCAACATTTTGAGCTAGGTCGTGGAGGAAAATAACTTGATAAGCCTTGGAATAGTACTCATTCAAGCTACCCATAGACTAAAGGCTGTCTTAGTCCCAGAACCCCCTTATGTTTGGTAGTTAGAAGAGCATCACTAACAACTGATCCCGGCATCCCTTAATTTGTATCGGTCCTTGTAAGATCCTTTTTTATACGGGGAACATGCCCAGTGAAACGCTCCTTAGGTCATCTGATTATTGTCTAGGTAAATATAGAGAGAATTCTACCTGCAACTGGAATGGAATTGGTCTTGAGACCGAAGCATAAATAAAATATAAATTGGAAAATGTGGAAGGTGAACATGACACCGAAATTTTTCATTAGTTCATATTTGCATCTCAGTACAGCCACGGGAAATAATAAATAGAAGCATAATACCTGAGCAGAGCATAATTTCAAGCATAACTGATTTAACCTTTAACCTTGGAAATTGAAAAGTTAAAGTTATCAGCTTAATTGACGTCAGCAAATATGACATACGACAGCATAAGTTAACATTTGACGCCATGCATGGCCAGAAAACTCGGACATCGAGTTTCGTGTGACTTACATTCAGGTTGTCACGCAAGGATCTTAACCGCTGGTTTTCATATTGCTTCCGGGCTCATATTGTTAGGAAAGATCGAGTGATCAAATACAACGATGTTTATGGGCAAATAAAGGCCGCTGTTCCAAAATATTGCGAAAAAGAGAAATGGCGAAGCTTTCGAACGCGAGGTTTTGGAGAAGATTTGGATGATTTTTGGCCGAGATTGTAGAGCGATGAAGCGGAACTGCAACTGTGTGACATGTCCACCTTTCTTCTCGGGACTTAGTTGTTTTTTTTTAACAGCCGAAAGGAAAGGTAAATTTACATGCCGAAGATCAGATTCTTTATTTTCCACGTAGCGCTTCATCTAGATCTATATTTTATGACTCGATTTTGGCAAATCATGTAGAATCTTTATTTTTTGGGTTATTTCATATCAAATATGTTATCTTTGATGCTTTTGTCAGTGATTTGCAAGGCTTTCACTGGCTCCGAATATGCAAATTGGTATCGTTCGGAAAGAAAGGTATGGAAATCATTTTTGCTCTATTATTTTACAACAAAAATAGCGCTGAATTGACTCGATTTTGCTTGATTTTGGCAAACTGAAAAACGTTTGTAGTTTTTCTTATATTTTCCGTATTTCATCGCTTCTCATATAAAGCTTTGTAATTTTCGTACGCCATTATTGTCATTGATTGGGAGAAGCTGCTACTGCTATGCGGTTTCAAATGTCCGAAATTTTGGCCAGGTAAATAGAACAATTTGATCGGCTAAACCAAAAATTTGACGCTTTCAAGATCGATTTTAGGGGTAGTTCACAGTCTACACCGTGTCTATACACATTATGGAAGACTATCCCCTTGAAATCTTTTGAACCGCCAGTGTCTTTTAACAGCCGAGTTTTTTTCATGGATGGCTTACCACAGTTTTAATCTAGACAGTTCACAGTCCCTTATTTTTCGTTAGGATAGTCAAGATCAAGCGCTTTGCGTTAAAGGTGGCCATCTTGGTTTCAAATGAACCGAGGGGACAGGCGTTGGGTATATAGTGGTAGGGGAAGAGAGGTGAGAATAAATAGAGGTTAAGACAGTCCCTCTATTCTTCCACCTTCTCTGAGACCGTACTCTGTCCACTACGTAGAATTTACTATTTCGCAGGCTATACTTGAAACAATTTGAAACCAGGATGGCTACTCATACTGCAAAGTGCCTGATCTCGAAGATCTTACCAAAAAATAGAAGACTGTGACCAGTCTAAGTTTTTTCAGTTCCTTATTTCTTTTAATAAATGTAGAACAGGTGTAAGTTGCTGTTTTCAATTTTATGTGAAGTCCTCAGAGCTAATCCTGTAGCTGGAATGGATGCACAAAAAGAAGAATCAAAAGAGGAAAGGAAGAGTCCAATGGAGAGAGCAAACATATTTTCTTTGCTATTTTTCCGGTGGATGAATGAAACACTTAACCTTGGAAGTGAGAGGCCATTACAAAGTAAAGATCTCTTTCCTCTCCAGCAAGAGTTTAAGACAGAGACATTAGTGGGGAAGCTAGAGTTGTTGTTGAATGAGGGAAAGAATAACCGTGCTCTAAAAAATACACAGCCGCAACTATGGAAACTCATGTTCAAAATGTTCTCATATAGAGATTATCTTATTTTAGGAGCTGTAAAGCTCACACACTCTCTGTCAAATGTTTTACTACCATTGATGGTCTGGTGCTTCCTGGCTGGCCTATCTGAAAATTCCAATGTAAATCAAGGTACCATCATCGGACATGTTGTTGGTATCTGTGTTCTGGCAATGGTGAAGGGAATTTCTCAACATCATGCCTTCTTTTTGGGTGGAATTTATGGGATGCAGCTAAGGGCTTCTGTTATTGGCATGGTTTATAAAAGGGTAAGTTAGTTTTCTTAACTTGAATTTGATTTGTGTAAGCTTCAGTTGTATATGTATTAAGATGGTCACTTCTGCGCTAACTGCTTGCAAGTGTAAAGAAAAAAATGTAAAAAAAAATGTAGCCCAATTTAATGCAAACCCCTTGAAGAAGAAGGTTTATATCCTTATTTTTATTTCTTTGAATCTGGTATATAGCAAACTTTCAGTAGTTCGCCTAAAATTTTCAGTTGAATTTTGTTGAGTTAGCAGAGGGTTCTCCAAACGTCTGCCGGACACCTGAGGTGGCCAACTAGATTATGCCTTTGTTAAAGAATACTTGTTTAAATGTCACTTACTCCCAAGCTACAGTTCATGTCTTTTCCTTGTACAGATTATGACAATGAATCGACGTTCAATGAATGAAGCTATTACTGGCCAAATAATTAATCTCGTCTCGAATGATGCAAATCACCTCAGAGATGCAGGCTGGAGTATGGTTCTCCTTCTTGCTGCACCCATAGAAATCATTTCATCTGGGTTACTTGTCTGGTATCTAGTTGGCTGGCAAGCATTCATAGGAGCTGGTTTCTTCCTTGCGGTAATCACTTACATCTCATTGTTGTCTAAGGAAGCAGGAAAACTCAGAGAGAAAGCAGCTTTGCTGACCGATAGAAGGCTTGAAGTTATGAACGAAGTCATCGCTGGCATTCGTTCAGTGAAAATGCGTGTATGGGAGAGGAATTTTATGGACATGATAAAAGATTTAAGAAAGTAAGTGATAAAGATTCTATCCTAACCCTTTCTACAATTTATTCAGTGTTTTCTTATTGAACATTTGAATATGTGTCAATAAAATTCTTAAATCTAGCTAAATGAGAGTGTATTATTTTAAAGAACAACATCCATCACACAATATGTTTTGCGCATGCTCGCATTTCTACCGTTTGAGTTTTAGGCGGAAATTAAGGGACTTCTTCTCAGCACAGCCGTGGACGCCATTTTTTTTAGAATTAGTTCACTATTACCCAAGCATCCTCGTTTCCAGTCTAATATATGTTACCATCGAACAACTTCGTTTCCAAGCAAATATACCATCTAATCAATGGTTTATTGCTCGCATCTTCAAATATGGTGATCGCCGATTGATTATGAAGAATTAGCCGGGTGTTGGAGCCAATAAGAAGCGGCAAAATATTATGAATGAATAATGATATGTTATATCTTTCAGAAAAGAGATCAGCTACATTCGTTGGAGGGGAGTGATACTTTCCAGCTTTGATGCTCTCTATTTTACCAACACTCCTATTGCTGCATGTATCTCCATCACAACTCTACTTTTCACCGACAACCATTTAACAGCATTTCAGATTTTTACCTTACTTTCAACTCTAAACGTCATAAAGTTTTCTGTTTCAGTATCTCTGGGCGAGACGCTTCCTCTCTTGGCTGATGCCAAAGTTTCATTAGTTAGGATACAAAACTTTTTGGAACTTTTTGTGAACTCTCAAATTGATTACTCTTCGAATAACGTGGATGAGGGAAACAGCAGTCCCACCTTCTCAAAAATATTCACGGTACATGATGACAGCGAATTGGATGAAACGTACGCGAAAAAGAATGACACACTGATAAACCCGTGCATTTCTTTAAAAAATATCTACTGTAGCTGGAACGAGGCAGATGGGTTGAATAAGACACTACAAAATATCTCCTTGGACATATACAGGAAGCAACTCGTTGTTATTACAGGTCCAGTTGGTTGTGGTAAATCATCGCTTCTGCTTGCAATACTGGGAGAACTTCCATGCAAAAGTGGAGTGATCAGACATTCTGGAGTCATCACCTACGTTCCTCAACTTCCGTGGATCTTCTCAGGAACAATTCAGGAGAATATTATCTTTGGGAAATCATTTGATGGTGTTAACTATGAAAGGATAATAAAAGCCTGCTGCCTCCAGAAGGACTTTTGTGAATTCTCTAAAGGCGATTTGACACACATTGGCCAGAGGGGAGTAAGCCTAAGTGGAGGACAGCGAGCTCGTATATGTTTAGCTCGTGCGCTGTACACTGACGCCGACATTTTTCTGCTAGATGATCCGCTCAGTGCCGTTGATGCAAAAGTGGCAACTCATCTCTACAAAAACTGCATCCGCGGCCTGCTGTTTGAGAAATGTTGTCTTTTAGTGACGCATCAACACCAGTTTTTGAAGAATGCTGATGACATTCTAGTCATGAAGCAAGGTGCCATTGTTCACCAAGGCAAGTATGAAGAGCTTCAAGCCAGAGACATCTTATCAAACTTTTCGGTCTTTAATATGGAAAATAAAAGAAAACATTCATTGGACCGCCAGACGTCGCACCGCTTGTCCAGGAGACGTACAAATACGTCATTGGTGTCTCCAGAAAATGTCCCCGTTGACCTTGAAGAAGGGGAGGAGGAGAGAATGATTGGATCAGTGAACTGGTGTCTTTATTGGCGTTACTTTCGCTTTGCGTATCCTGCTACCATGCTGTTCTGCCTTGCTGGTCTTGTTTTGACTGTACAAGGTAAGCCTGGTGTATGAGATAAATCTATACCACGTCTTGCTAGTTCATCGAGTTGCAGACTGAATGGCATTTGTACCGAATTTCACAACATTATCACCTAAATTAACGGCTTTTTATTTTTTATCGTTGTCATTATTATTTTATTTTTTTTTGTCCTTAGTTAAACAATTAACATAGTACCCAGAAACCGTAGGGTGAGAAGAAAGTCATAAATCCATTCAAATCAGAACAAAATGGGTATTTTTTGGGTAAATTTTTTTCAATTCCCACCAGGAAGAAAAATTAAATGACATGAAGGCTAGATTAATGTAAAAGTACACCCATTGGTTCTGATAAATTTTCAGTGCCTGCGTGTTGACTGGAAGAAGGCTTGTAATGTGGTTATTTTTGCAGTGATAATATTAATAGCAGTCGCTTATTTTTTTATAACCATTGAACATTTTTCTCAGTGGCCCTTATCTCACCGTATTGGTGGCTATCGCAAGTTGCCAACATGACATTAAATCAACAAAGAGCCCCAGAAACTCTTGGAATCTTTGGATCCCTGGTAATTGGCGCTCTTCTCCTTTCCACACTTGTTTCTTTCTTGTTTTACCACACGTTGCTGCGAGCATCAGAGAAACTTCACAACAAGATGGTCAGAGCAGTCATGAAAGCCCCAGTCATATTTTTCGACACAAATCCTGCCGGCCGCATTCTTAACCGATTCTCCAAAGACATCGGTTGCATGGATGACACCCTGCCACCTCAGTTCCTGCTTGCAGTCCAATTGTGCCTCTTCACGTTTGGAGCTACTGTGCTTTCTGCAGTTACCAATTACTGGCTTGTGATTGGCATCACCCCTTTGATGCTACTGTTCTTTTACTATGGAAGGTATTACTTGAGGACTTCTAGGGAGCTTAAGAGATTAGAGGCCATCAAATGTAGTCCTGTTTATTCACACGTGGCAGAAACGGTTCATGGCCTGGAGGTAATAAAAACGTCTGGAATGGAAGAGCGCTTTCTGCAGCTTCTCTTTAGGTTGGTTGTTGATTTCCTTTTCTATTGTAGTTTATATGTTTATAAATTTTCTTTTCTTTAACCCTTTCAGCCATGATAAAGGCCAAAGCAAATTGTCTCATAAAAATTCTTTCCTTTTTTTTTTTTCCTTTTTTTCGAAAATTCTTAGAGAGAAAATAGTGCTTTAGAGAAGCTCTATAAAAGAGGTTTCATTCGAATGGAAGTACTTTACAGGCTCTAGGTCTAGATTTCATCTATTGGTTTAAAACTAGAATGACAAATTGAAAATACTTTTTGACCATTTTTTAAACGATGTCACGAGTTAAACAACTTGAATACTGAGAAAAATGATTGTATTTGTTATTTTAACCATCATGGAACAGCGCAAACTCCCTCGCCAATATACTTTGTAAATGAGCCGTTTAATATTCATATTTTGGACTTTGGTCCTTGTTTATTAGGTACCAGGATGAAAATTCTCCAGCGATAATTATGGTGCTGGGATGCTCCAAGTGGCTAGGTGTTCGTTTGGAAGTGCTTTGTAGTTTGCTTGTGACACTCGTAGCAGCAGGTGCGGTTATCATCACCCAAATACCAGGTAAATATTGTACTACCTTACGTCTAAGTATTCTCATACTTGTTAAAAGGTAATTTTCAAAATGTTTTTCAGCCTTCTCCTTCGTTTTTCACAGGCTTGAGGAATGTCGTGAACTGTTTGTTCTTTCTAACACCGACAACGTTTTTTAAGACGGCAATGTTGGGCCCGGTACTAATCAGTCAGTTGTCAACGTTAAACCTACAGCCCTAAATGACCGATATGCACATACAAATTCTCCACCTTGAACGGATGTCTTTTAAGTTCCTTAATTAATTAGTTGAATGAGTTTGATAAAATATCCAAGAATTTCTTTTTTAATTTTTTTTTTTTTGATGTTGGTCATTCTTGGGAATTATAGGGTTATCGGAGTTTGGGCGTTTGTCTTTTAAAGAATCAAATACCGTAGAAAACGGCAAGGATCAGCTCTACTTTGTCTTTCTTTTTTTTTCAAGGTGGGCTTCTTTGTGAAGAGGTGTCCTTAAGCGATAGTTGATTTTACCTATCTCATAGTAGCTCGCTTCGTTAACATCTAGTCGGGAAAAAATAGATGTCTACAACTAAAACAAAATAACAATCACAAGTACTGAATAAAGTTACAAATTATATTGTTGCAGCCATTGCAGGACTGTCGTTGGTTTATACGCTGGAAACCTTAGATGCAGCTCAGTTTGGACTCCAGCAGGTGTCCGAGACAGAGACCCTCATGACGTCGGTTGAGAGGGTGATGACGTACACGCAGCTGACACCAGAGCCTGGTTTTACTACCAGAGCCCAACCTCCTGTATCATGGCCTACCAAAGGGGATCTGTCTATTAAAGATCTGTCTTTAACATATTTGGAAGGTGGTCTCCGTATCCTTAAGGAAGTCACACTTACCATCGGAGACGGAGAAAAAATTGGCGTGTCAGGTCGAACTGGATCTGGAAAATCATCCCTCCTGGCAGCATTGTTTAGAATGCCTGAACCAGATGGAAACGTAAGACTTCGATCTGTTCATCCAAATATTGTACCTATTTTGTTTCGAGGGTTTAGTTGATCCATGCATCAGCACTCATCCCAAAATCCTGTCAGTTTACTTTCTTTTAATGACTTGACAATTATTCATCAAATTTATCATCATTTTCTTTGATGATAAGAATTATTTTCTTTTGATAATTTACATGGAGGATAAAAACGCTTGACAATAAATTTTTCATAATTTTTACCAAACCATACGATATGTAGAACTGACCTCGTGATCAGTCCCGTGTAATATATTAATTTATTCCTGTTAAAGACGTTGATGATGATAAGGGAATGGCCACGATAAAGGCTCACGGCCGTATTCAGTCTGAGTTTCAAAAAGACTGACAAAAATTCCTTCTTTGTTTTTTAAGGTAATAGTGGATGGCATCAATTTACAAACCTTGAATGTGCAAGCCGCCAGGCGAATATTTTCCGTGATAACTCAAGACCCTATATTATTTTCCGGAAGCCTGAGAAGGAACCTGGACCCTTTTGATAACTACACGGACTATGAGTTATGGAACGCTCTTGATGAAGTCCAGCTAAAACAGTGGGTGCGAGACCAACTACCAGGGCAACTGCAATACAAGCTCCTAGAGTCGGGTAGCAATCTTAGTGTAGGTCAAAGGCAGTTAATTTGTCTGGTACGAGTTCTTCTTGAGAAGAAGAAGATTGTCATTTTAGATGAAGCAACTGCTAATGTTGACTTTAAGATGGATCGTTTAATTCATGAAATGATACTTAGTAAATTCAAGGATACAACAGTAATAATTATCGCTCATAGACTAGAAAATATTGTTGACTGTGATAGGATCATGGTGTTGGATCAGGGTCGTGTTGTGGAGTTTGACAAACCTTCTGCTCTTCTAAATAAGAGAGGGAGTTACTTTTCAGAGTTAGTTAAAACCTATAATAATACCATTAACTGACCTATATAGAGGTCCACAACGTCCTTTTGAGTACATGAACTGCAGAGGTGAGTCACTGGTAAAATTTTCAGAATAGCAACAAGACTTATCTGCCTTCCCGCATTCATTCTTGCGGATGTAGAGCTACTTTTCTAACTGATGGACAAGTATAGGTGCTATTAGTAGTGTTTTACTGGGATTGTACAATATTCTAGACCAGATGAGAGTGAGGACTAAATTTTCATTCACTTCCAATCAGTGTAGTCTGAGAAAACGGCCGACATTTCTCGACGCCACCACTGGTTTCCCAGCGAAATAACGTTTTTATTTTTATTATTTGGGCGCCACCCAAATAGAGTAATCGAGATCGCCTGTTTTGGTTCAAAGTTGCAATAGGCACGCAGTAAGTGCGAACGTAAACAAGCCAAGTAAACAAGCCAAGCGACGCGATTGTGTACCGCGCGATGTGTCACGACACAGCATTTAACCTCGTTACATACGTCCCACAGATAACGCACGGCAAACAAATTGGCAATTCTTGGTTTTCACATGACGTCACCAAAATTCAAACTAAAAAACTATCGCTTTCTCTGAGTTTTTACTTTCATGTGGTATTAGAGCACCTTAAAACCTTTACACAAACAAATTTTCGGTTCAAAAGGGTTCTTCTTTTTGCGATACAGGACGCTTGAGTTTCCAGGCTTTTACGTGACGCGGCATTTGGCTGGCGGCCGGGAAAGCTCTTATGTGGGTTAAAAACATTACGGATTTTTGGAGATTTTGCTATCTACGCATTCCCTGTTGCCCCCTTTTATGGACCAAAAGACACTCGTTAAGCGCAGGGGAGGTTATAAGGTGCGTTTAACTGTGTATATATAAACACTTGGAGAGTTTGCCAGACACGAGTTCACAAATCTTTGATTTATATTGGAAACCTTGCCAGACACTCTTATTCTCTCTTTGACCGGAGTAAGACTCAGCCCCAAACAAGCAAGACGAGTGAACAACGGCTAGCTTATCACTAGCAGATTGATGGACATTT